CTGTGAGCAGAAATGGCCTCTGGAAAATTCTAGAAAAGTTTGGCTGCTCCACCAAATCTGTCAACATCATATATCAATTTCACAAAGACGTGACTGGTCAAGTCCTCTCAGATAGTGACCTTTTAAACAATTTCCCATATATAATGGAGGAGTGAAGCAAGCCTGTGTGCTGGCACTGGCCCTTTTTGGTCTCTTCTTTGCAGCTGTTCTGAATTACGCAAAGTCCAGCCTTCCAAAGGGCATCTACGTAAGGTACGGAACTGATGGAAAACTCTTCAATTTCCAAAGGCTTACTGCAAATACAAAAATTCTTGAGGAATTCATATGTGAAGACCTTTTTGTGGATGACTGTGCACTACTTAGCCATAGTGAAAACGATCTACAGCTTATCCTTGACAGATTCTCTGAGGCAACTAAACAGTTTCAACTCACCATCAGCCTGGAAAAAAACATACAAGTCTTCTTCCAACCAACCACCAGCCAAATATCACCACTGATTGTTTAAGCCAAAGACTGTCAATAACTTTACATACCTGGGCAGTACTATCTTAACAGATGGTTCGCTGGATCATGAAAGATCAAGTCGAATATTAAAGGTAAGCCAGGCCTTCAGAAGACTTTGCCATAGGATACTCAACCAGCACACCATCCAATACTTAACAAAACTGATAATACCCAACGCAGCAGTAATAGCATCCCTTTTAGACAGGTGTGAAACATCGACAATTTACCACAGACACATTAAGCAACTTGAAAAATGTCACACATGCTGCCTCCACTCTATTCTGAAAGTCGACTGGCAAGACAAAGTCTCAAACATTAATATCCTTGAAAGAACAAAAACAGTAATTGAGGCCAGTTGAGGCCAAGTAAATGATCAAAGCTCAGCTTAGACTGACAGATCATGTTATCAGAGTGGGCAACAACATACTCCAGAAAACAAAGTTTTCTATGAGCTGGCACTCTTGAAAGCACAGTATGGGTGGTCAACAAAACACTTCAAAGAGACACCCATAAGTAGAAACTCACCTCATGCAGCATAAAGAACAATACATTTGAAGACATAGCCAAGGACAGAATAGAGAGCAATGATCAATAAAAGTTAACACTTTGAGGAAGCCAGGTGTGAAAAAGTGATAGAAAAAAGGGCCACGCATTATGCTGAGACTTCAGTACGAGCATGCACATTCCTGTGTGACATTTGTTCATGATCTTGCTCCTCACAGATCGTATTATGAAGCCACATGAGAGCACGTGACCCTGTGAGTTGTCATTGTTGGATAGCAACCTATAGACTATTTTATTGAAATTGTATATCCTATTTTCAACACCATCCATACAAATTTCTTCAGTTTTTATCTGCTGAACTAAATGTTTGTTTTAAATAAGTATGTGTCATTCTCAATTGACATCCCTCTTCTACTGGACTGGATTAGCATTATTTTTTTCCCTTTGTGCCCCAGGACTTTCTGAATTGGTTGGGATGATATTACTTTTCAACAGGTACCCCCCTACTGGACACACAATAATGAACTTCTTCAGAGACTGAATTTCCCTCCTCCTACAGATGTTAGTACAAGTTTTAGTGAAGGGCAATTTTTTATTCTTAAATTACAAAAACAATTACACTGTAGACTACAGAAAAATATTCTAAACTTATTGGAGAAGAAAGACTGCAGTATAAAATTATTACATATTTTGGATCCTTTTTAAAAAAAGGCATTTTTCAAATCTGCCAGAGCCATTAAGTTATACAGTACAAATCCAGGTCATTAAGAAAATAATTTACTGAATAGGTGTGTCCAAGAACTGACATAGGATACAGAGTCCTTGACTTTTAAATCATTAGACCAGGGGTGGACAAACTAGGCCCGAGGGCCACATCCAGCCCCCCGGGCCACGTCCAGCCCCCCAGACGTTTTAATCTGGCCCTCAAGCTCCCGCCAGGGAGCGGGGTCGGGGGCTTGCCCTGCTCCACACGGCTCCCGGAAGCAGTGGCACGTCCCCCCTCCAGCTCCTATGCGGAGGGGCAGCCAAGGGGTTCCGCACGCTGCCCCCGCCCCAAGTGCCACCCCCACAGCTCCCATTGGACGGAAACCACCGCCAATGGGAGCTACAGGGGTGGTGACTGTTGACAGGGCAGCACGCAGAGCCGCCTGGCCATGCCACCACGTGGGAGCTGGAGGGTGAACATGCCACTGCCTCTGGGAGCTGCGTGAGGTAAGCGCCGCCCGGAACCTGCACCCCTGACCCCCTCCTGCACCCCAACCGGCTGCCCCAACCCTGATCCTCCTCCCACCCTCTGAACCCCTCAGTCCCAGCCCGAAGCACCCTACTGCACCCCCAACCCCTCATCCCCAGCCCCACCCCAGAGCCCTCAACCCCAGCCGGAGCCCTCATCCCCTCCCGCACCCCAACCCCCAATTTCGTGAGCATTCATGGCCCGCCATACAATTTCCATACCCAGATGTGGCCCTCGGGCCAAAAAGTTTGCCCACCCCTGCATTAGACTGAATCTAACCCATATCAGTAGGAAGCAAAAAAGTCATTGCCCTCTAACTGCTGTTTGTATGACTGTGTCATTAAATAGTTTGATAATCTCCACATTCCTAAGGGACTAACATCTATATTTCAAAAGTCACCATAACAATTAGCAACATCAAAAGGTGCTAAGGACAAGAAGGAAATACAGATATCACCTCTAGAGGTGATCTCTTCATGTCAGGGTTGAGCATGTAGTTGAGGTAGTATGAGATTATTTATAAAGCAAATATAACTATCAAACTAAAATATGTAAAATTCTTGTAGGGTAAGTCAAACAGAAGAATTTAAATATTAGATTAGGGATGACATGTTAGCAAATTTTCAACTTCATTCAAATTGAAAAGAGCATTGTAAACGGACGATAGACTTTATAATGGCAACATTGAAACCACAAATTATTGTGGGATATATTATACTAAGAGAATATATATTATACTAAAAATTTAAAAGAGATTGGAATCAAGCAACAGTGTATTTGTTCCCTGACTCCATCCATTTATAATATTGATAAAGGGGCCAAATCTCCACTGACTTGCATTGTGTAGTCATTTACACCTGTGCAAAAGGGGTGGAAAACCAATTATGAATGGTACAAGACAGTGGAGAATCAGTCTCATAATATGCATGTTAGTTATCTGAATGACATTTCTGTCCTGATAGAAAGGAAGATTATGCTTAAGGATTCACTGTCAAAGTCCCAGAAACAAGAAAATTTTAAATAAATGAGGACACCAAGTGGTCATTTGCCAATATAACAGCCAAATATCTTACCAACAAAAAGCTAGATAAATACACATAATTTATGTATACATATAATATACATAGTATGCTGAAATCAGAACCAGTGCAAAGGAAGTACAGAATTTGACTGGAACAATGTCTGCTTGACTCTTCTACGAAGTGTTAAAGTTTTAACACTAACTATATTGATGCTCATTTGCTTAACACTGAAAAGGATTATATGACTCTACAATGCTGGACTCCCAGACTGTTAATGTCACAAATAAAACTGTGATTAAAACTATTTTCATATATACTAAACAATTTATACATGGTTGGAAATGCTTCTCATGGAAACTTTCAGACCACTACATTGAATAAACTGAGCACAGTTTTCCTTTAAAATCTATTCATACACAGTGTACTTACACTGGTAACAGAACCACCACCACACAACCATTTAATACATATCGAAATATTAAAGAAGAAAACACAAATGGTAAATTTCTGAAGTGTCAGTAGCATGAAGGCATATTACCAGATACTGAACATTAAAGACAGTATGAAGAATACACTTAGCTATTGAATGAAGGACAAAATTCAATAAAAAAAGGTAAGTTATATCATAACTTAGAACTAAATTTTTAAAAAGAGGCTGGGCAAAGGGTACTGTTTTAACTCTTGTTATGGTAATTATACACCACAGACTAATGACTTTCTTCATGTAGGCAGTGTATGAAACATAAATCACAGTACTAAATTTTAGAAGTCTACTTTACTCTATCTTTTCCAAAGAAATTCTCTTTACATTTCACTATATCATTCAATTTTCAGAGGTTTATAGCCACAGGGTATACAGTACATATTTAATTTAGGTTTAGTTTTTCTGTAGCACAAGCAGCAGCAAGTTGTTTACAAAATATTTAACACATAGAACAGAAACAAACTTTGCTTTAGTACTGTGTTTAAGTATTAGGCCCACCTGCACTAGCACACAGATTTTAACCTAGTTATAATTCTGTCAGCTTCTGCTTTACATAGATCAAAATGTTATATCGTTAAACTTTGTTTTTGGCTCATAAAATAAGCCTGGAATCGTTGAAAGATGAAAGGCCTAATAAGTTTATTTCAAAATCCTATTCCTTTCCATTTAGTGAATGAATTCGCATCGTGTTTTGTTCAATGATAACGTAAAACCAAACTGTCTGGATAGCTGAGCAGCACAATTCCTACTGACTTCAAATGAAGTTTTGGGTGCTTTGCACTTCTCTTCCCAACACACCTTAAATACTACACTGTTTAGTGAGCAGGCCATGTTTAACAGTGAATTTTGCAACACTTAAGCAACATTACCTACAGCTGTATTTTTGAAAGGCACACAGGTGTTCCTTGTTAATATTCCCCCTCTCCGCTACACTCCCACCCCCCGCCAAGAGCTTGACCATGTGCAATATGGTATGATGTCACTTCTAAAAAATCCTTCATTTGAGTTCTACCTTGTTTTTCTTCATAAAAACTCCAACAAAAGGAGGAGACAGACAATTTCCGAGAGCTGTTTAAAGAACTTTCTTCAGAAGAGTGGTCCAATTTATTGACACATACAAACAGGGACCATTTTGCCAGCTTTTTAATATTGTAGGTATGATTACTTTAGTTACATAATTTATGCTTCTACTCACTCATAAATCAGTTCAATTGTTCTCATCAGTAACTTCTGGATAAACCTGAACACTCACTTTGTTGTCTTGTGTAACAAGAATACTTGCACCCCCTGGTTTCAAAGGCACTTCTTCCATTGCTCCAAACACATCAGTCTCGACAGAGAAGGTCAGTTCCAGCCCAAGATCACTGATATCATTATCTAAAATCCACTGCAAGTTCTTTGCATACTCTGGATCAATAGATGCCACATCCTGATAATTTACAGGAATACCTGAGAAAATAAAATCAAAATCCACATATTCAGTTTGCCTTAGCCTGCTTGTTCTATGGTAGAAGATTGCCCTCTAGAGAGTGACTGGAATAATGCAGGGATGAAAAAACATTTATAGTCATGATACACAGCAGAATTTAAACTCGCCATATCTTCTGTATTTTGGACACAGCCATAGAAAGTAAAACATGTCCTTTGAGGTAGACTCTCCTGGTGAACCGAAGTCACACACCATTTAGTCAATAAGCTATAACAAGTGTACATTCCTGGGACACTGACTCAAGCCTCACTGTGAAGCCCAAGGCTTTCAACCATGCACCTTCAGCCTCACGAAAATACACCAGTCCAACAGGTGTTTACAACCAGTAAGTTTTACCAAACCAGTTGCTTTAGTATATTAAAAAAATGTCTCTTTTCACTAAAAAGCAGTTTGTAGTTGGAAGAAAAATACTAACGAAGTAGTTATGGAGGTCTTTTATATACTCAGAATAAATTAATTTCCTTGGCTCTTTAGATTTTTTTTTTCCTCCCATTTCCTGTGAGACCGGCTACTCTTTCAGCAACAACTGTGGTCCAGCTACAAATCACTTTCAGTACAAAAACTAAATTGTGAAACTCTAAAGCAACTTCCAGATTTGCTTTTATAATGTAAAGAGGCTAAAAAGCAAGAGTTATTATACAGGCTCAGCTGAGCACAGAAAAGTTTTAGAATTTCCTATGTTTATCCCCTTCCACAAATACACATCCAATTACAGCATACATTTTGCAAGCACCACTGCTAACCTGATCCTTCCACATCTTCCCCACACTGTGAACCCATGGAGAAAGAGGGAAGATCAACAGCTCCTCCAATCTCAGCCCTGGTCACTCCTTGCCTATTACACAGTCACAGCCAGAGCCAAAGAAATTTCTTTCACATTTAGTTCCAGCTTTCTTTTCTGCCTGCACAGTAATGTGAAAGATTACTTACCAGTAAGTGTTCAAGAACTACCTCTGTACAGTTCACTGCAATGAGGCACCCCTGGTGTCAAGCTACTTTGCAAAACCACCTCCACTGGCAGGTGCACGAGAGTTCTTATGTATGAGTGACATCACCACCCTACGCTACATAAGGAATTGCCCCAGTTCCTTCTTCCAGACTACAGTGTCCTGATGTTACTCCACGGCAAAGAGGAAGGAGGGCCAGTAGCTTGAATACAGAGAGCTAATTCTCTAACCACAGTAGTTACCAACCTATATGCTTCTCACCTATGGGAGTTTAGTAAGCATGGCTCAACCAGGTAGATAGTGGGTGAGGAGTTCTTAGCTAAATATGGACCATATAACTGCCACACGAAACCGGGCACTGGAGCATGATGTTAAGTCTAAGGAGAAGCAACTGGTGAAAGTGTACACTGAATTCTCAGACAGTTTCTTTGCAAGTCTCCACCAGGGGAAGCCAGCCTAAGATGGGCCCCTGACACTGAGGTGGTGGTTGTGGAATGGGTCTTCAAATAAGGTACTGTTTTCCTAGCTAAGATTATGTATGGAACATAGTAACATGTAGTCTTGTGAGAGTGTCTGGTAATAGGTTATTTGTAGTATGTGGGAGGGCTTAGTTTTTTTCAGCTAAAGCACAGTAGCCTCTTATATCTAGTGTATGGAGACCTGCTTCCCCTGGGTGGGAATGAGGTGTTAGAAAGGAAACAGACTAAGGCCTTGGCTACACTTGCAGCTGTACAGCGCTGTGAGGTAAACCTGTCTTCGTACAGCTGAGTAGGGAAAAGCGCTGCAGTCTGTCCACACTGACAGCTGCCAGCGCAGTGGTGTGGCCACACTTGCAACATTTGCAGCTGTGTTGGGAGCGGTGCATTATGGGCAGCTATCCCAGCATTCATGTGGATGCGATGTGCTTTTCAAAACGGGATAGGGGGGGTGGATTGTGACAGGGAGTGTGGGGGGAGAGAGTGCTTTTTGGAACATGTCAGCTCTCTATTTTGCAAGTTCCGAACTCCCGGCCCTCTGCTCATTCATTTACTCACTCAAAGCAAGCTGCAAACTGTTTGCTTCTCTCTGTGGTACGAGCTTTGAAACCGGCACTTCCGCATTCCTGCAGCCCGTCACAACAATAGAGAGGATTGGCCACTTGACAAGATGATTAGTACAGCGCTGCAAGCGTTTACACTCACACCCGTGATTCATAGCCACTCCGCTGCAGCTGTTATTCCTCTCGGGGAGGTGCAGTACCTGCAGCAGTGTACCCAGGGAGATACAGCGCTGTAAGTGCCCTACCAGTGTGGACGGGAAGTGAGTTACAGCACTGGGGGAGGCTTTACAGTGCTGTAACTTGCAAGTGTAGCCAAGGCCTTAGATAGATGGAAATCTGAGACTACCTTAAGCATGAAGTTGGGATGTGGCCTCAGGATGATTTTGTCCTTTATGAGCACAGCATAGGGCGAAGCGGTGATCCAAGTACTAAGCTCACTTGCTCATCTTCCTACCAATTACCTCTGCTATCAGGAAGGCCATTTTGATTGATATATGCTTGAGAGAAGTCTGAGCGAGAGGCTCATAAGGAGGGTCCCATTAGCTTTACCAGCACAAGATTTAGATCCCGTGTCAACTGGGATTGGCGAGGGGGTGGAACATTTAATATGCCCTTAAGGAACCTGCAAAGTGAAAGAAGGGTTTGTCCTTAACAAAACATTCTGATAAACAGATATTGCTGCCATGTGGACCTTCAGGGAGAGGCTAAGACTACTAAATCCTGAGACTAAGTGTAAAAGGTACTCAAAGATTGAAGGAACTTCAGCTTGAGATCTAGCGAGTCCTTTGTCAGCCACCTGATCTTCCTTATGTGACCCTGGGAATCAGGGAAATGGAAGAGACGTTCTTCTGTATCTGTTGAGGTTTGTGAGATCCAGAATGGACCTCAGAAATTAACTCTTCTTGAGAATCAGGAAACAGTGGTGTTAAAATCCTTTCCCTCAGTATTCCTATGGAAACTCTTTTATGGTTCCCTTCTTGAGGAGGGAATCCACTTTTTCCAATAGGACTCTCTCATGAGATGGGAGAGAATGGTGAAGTGGCCTGGTGCAGAACTGGATGGAGTATCCACCATCACTGGTGTCCACTATCCACTGATCCAAAGTAATCATGCACCAGAAACAGTAGGAGGAGAAACTAAGCCATTTTCCTTGCACTTGTGTCTGAGGTATCATATGCTGGTCTTAAGAGTGTCTTGTGAGCATACAACTCTCTGTGACCAAGGACTTAGCTACTTCCTTCTGTTCCTCCAGTCAAGATTCCAAGCTGGGGCTCATGGTCCCCCAAAGTGTAACTGCAGAAGGACAAGATGGTTTAGTAGTCAGCCATTTGGGAGGTCTAGACATGTAGGCTCTCCTGACAAAAGCATCCAGCTTACATCCCTCGGTTAGGAGTGGAAAGAGACACTTTGCCACCTTTAACTTTCTCTAATGCTGCAGACACCACTGTCTGCTCACCTGGACACAGGTAAGGAAGAAAAAGGAGATAGCCAAATAGTTCTGTCATCCTCAGCCCATCAAAGAATAAGAGGCAGAGACTACTTCTCACTAGTCCGTACCTGTAATATGTCAAACAGGGGATTGGATCTCTCTGGTGCCATGACCCATTTGCAGCTGACATGTATCTGCCATTCTTCCCAGTAGCCCCTGAAACAGTCTGATTGTCAGGAATGTAAACAGATGAAGCACCAATTTGGTCTTCAGGAAAGGTACTATCTGTATGTTCCTCCAAAGGGGACTCAGATGGTTACTCTGAAAGAGTCTCATCCCATTCCTTAGATATAGGTAGGTCTTCCTGCACATCTACTGGATTCAATGGCAGCATCAGTGCTGATGAGAAAGGTTGTTTTGGCACTGGATGAATGATAGGTACTATGAGGGCATCAATGCCAAGTGGGGGCCTGGTGCCAGATGGGGCATTGGAACTAGTGCCACAGTCAGTGCCGGGACTGGTCTCAGCCTCCAAAAGGGTCTTCAGAGTCCTGTATGTACAGCCACATGAGTAGCTGAAGAAAGCCTATGGTAGATTTCCATGACTTCTGGACCTAAGACAAGAGCAGAGGTCCAGTGCCCTGAGATCAATTCTGGGGACCGTGTAAAGTTCATCTCCAAAGGGGTTAGATATTCAGAGGCACCTGTGGGTTGGGACTGGAGGATTAAGTTTCAGTGCAGAGTCAAGCAGTGGAAAAGCATGCTGTAGGGTGGCTAGTAGATTCAGACACAGAAAGATCCAAAGTATTATTGGGATCTGAACTGGTTAGAAGTCCAAGTTAACTGGTGCTGAGATGTACAGCTCCACAGGAGCATGGAAAAGAGATGTCATTTGAGAATCTTTGAGGCACTTGTGTGTCAGAGAATACAAGAGAGAGACAACAACTCCTTTTCTCTCTTTTATGGGCCTCATGAGGAGATGTGCTGCTTCTCCTTCCTTTTACCTGAATGGACCTCTGAATGCCCCTGTAGAGCTGAGGCAGAGGCATCAGTGGATGAATAGAATGAGTGCCAAATCATCATGTGAGGAGCAGGTGGCAAGATGGGCACTTCCTGTGTTAGCACTGGGACTGAGGAAACCTTTAAGGTGGTGCCAACTTGAGCTTTGGTGCTAGGTGAAGGATTCATTCCCAGCATGGGGCCAAAGAGATTCTGGTCTCAAGCCCATGATAAAAAGCTGGCACTGAGGCCAGAGCAGTAAAACGCATCATGGGTCCTGCATAGGAAGACTTCTGCGCTGAGGCTGGGGTCTCTGCACCATCAATTAGCCCAGGCTATCAAGACTGTAGGCACACTGAGAAGCTAGATGAGCCTAGAGCCTGAAATGACTCTGCCTTCTAGAGCAGGGAGGGACTCAACAGCAAATTAAACTTTCAGTTACTTAGTGGGTCTCGGCCAGACATAGCAAGCACCAGATGAAAGCACCTGTCTCTGGTATGATCACTGGGCAGGAGGCACATCTCTTGATGCCCTTATGAGACCTCATGGCTCAACACAGTGTTGGTAAAAGGTATCTGGGACAAGGGAAGGGATATTTACAACGAACTACCTTATACTACTCTAAGCCAACTAATTACAAGAAGATATTAAGGTAGGATAAAGGAAGATCTAGCCCTGGGATCATGAAGGCAAGTTCTATTAGCATTCTGTGGCAGTGGCAGCAGCAAAAGACCTGAGGCACTTAGGGGGTGCACTCTCATATGTAGGGTAGGGAAATGAAGTCACCCTCGTGCAAGACTTCTCGTGCACTCCCCAAAGGACCCTGGTTTTCTGGCTGTTCTGCAGCTCAATGCCAGGGACAACATATCCCCATAAGGGTACTGCACAGAGGTCCTCAAAGAAGAACAGATATGTTCTTGTTCCTCAGAGAGGAGCCAAAGACACCAGCAGTTCTTAGTGTCCCCATTCCTAAAGAAGAAAGAGCAGAACTCCAGCATCTTTCTGGGGTCTGGAACAGTACTGTTGCATCTGGGGCAATCTTTGAGACACTAGGCTTCTCCCAATGGAGAAAGACTTGAGGTTTTGCTGGACAGGCAGCTATGGCAGTCATGAGACTCTTATGGAAAAAGCCCAAAGAATTTAAGGTGGGTGAAACCAAAAGGGTACTATAGAAATTGGTATGAAATTCTTTGAAAACTTGAGCAAGAATAATCTCCTTTCTATTAGAATTTTTATCCTCTAGGAATCTATAGAAAAGACACAAACTTACATTACATTCTAAATGATGACTCAAATAGTTCCACTGAAAAGGAAACAGGCTGAGAAGGCTACTGTAGCAGCACCAATGAGCCACTACTGAGAAGTAATAAATTTGTCAGGGGAAGGAATTGTTAATATTGGTGGTGGTAAAAATACAGATTTTCTTTGGTGCTATGTGACGAGAACCTGAGTGTGCATGTGGGCATATATGGTAAGAGTGGAGTAGTAGATTTTCCCCCCCCCCACCTATATCCAGCAAGTTTCCTCGATAAATTTGCAACGCTGTCTTAACTAAGGGGGGGAGGGGAGAGAAGAGAGAGACTATTTTCATTCACTGGAAAAACTTCTTAGTCAATCTTTTCCAAAGTTATCAAACCAAGCACCCTCACTGAGGGATAGAGTTTTACATTAAAACTCCAAATGTTTCAATTAGAGTTCAAGGACCCACTATGAAGAGATTTTTATCAGAATTCCTGAAAGGTCTCATACTTCTAGGCTGAGGAACATAAGTAATTTCAGACCAGAACATATCTGAGAAATTATAAATCATGGAAAACAAGGTCTAGAATGAACGTACCATTTAAATATCAAACAGGGTGTTATTACATGATGAAACTAATGAACCTGCTGGCTATAATGCCTGTACTTCTTGTCTCTGAACTAAGAATGTTTTTAAAAAGACAATCGAATACAAAGAGGCAATGGCCACTAATTTATATATTTACACTTTAAAGGGGTTATAGCAGTGGCACTAATTTTTTCTTAAGAAAAATCCACAAGTGAGCTTCATATATTGGTTAATAAGAGTGAAGGACTAGCTATTTGCTCCAGTTGATATAGTGCAAAAGTTGCTCTACTAAGTTTCCCCACACAGAAGTACTTCCATTTTCGACAACTTTACTATTCCAATCTAAGCCTTTCTTCAGAGAATGCCAGTCATGTTGTATTATGCTGTAACTCTGATGTAAACAAAGACTTACTTTCACATCCACCATTTTTTACCATAGGTCACCAACGATGAAAGCCTAGTGCATAAGTAACTGTACCACCAAGCCACATCATTTATATCATTTACTGAAATGAATTAGTTGTCTAAAACAGGATTTTAATAGAACCATACCAAGAATATGCTTGTAGAATGACCTTGTGAAGTAAATGTTGACCAGCTGCCTGTGATTCAGAGCTAAACCCAAGATCTGTCCAGCAAATCGAAAGTAGTTCAAGTGATCAGGATTTACAGAAGAGTTGCTGTTTGGCTGGAAGGTTGTTCCTATGAAACAAAGGGTGCCATTATATTTAGTCATAGTTTTAGCCCGTATCATACAACTGCAGCCTATATATTTTTACTGTAATTTGACCCTCTCAAATAAATTCAACAGTTGTAATTTGTTCGTAGGACAAGAACAAAAACACACATCCACATTACCCTCTTCTCTGATAGATCTATTTTCTTGGTGTGACCAAAATAAAAAAGAATCAAAAGGCAAAAACAGGATAAAACTTGTAATTACTTTTTGCAACTTATTAAAACTGCAACAGATGCACACACACATTCTTAACATTTCAAACAAAAATTACATTTTCCAGGGCCACAGTGTGTTTACCTTCTTCTCCTCAATCTATTGAATTGACAAAAATTTGAATATTTACCAGAAATATTTACATTCTTGCTGGTTTGGAATTAAAGTACAAAGGCCATCCAGAGCGAATATAAAACATGCATAGCCAAAACTTGGACACAACTTACAATAGGCAAGGTCTGACACTATGAAAAAGGAGGAAATGTTCCTTTACATAATTAAAATTATACAATCTCAAGTTCTCAGTATCTTTCTACATAACAAAAAGTTGAAGAAAGTTCTCCAGATTTTTAGAATTAGCGTGCATTGTTCAATAGACTATAATTAGAGCCAAACAACTTACTTAAGTGTAGCTGTACTCATCTGTGGTCTATTTCAAAGCTATTTTTCTTCTACTTAAGTAATTAATCTACTTGTTTGATTATCTGAAACACTGAAGTAAAAATTTGTTCTTTTTTTTTAGCATATTCTAATTCAGATTGTAATTTCTGTACTACATTCAGCAGGACTAAAGTGATGTAGGAAACAAATGGGTTAAAATGGAATTTTAATAGACAATCAGGGATGACTGAATTATGCCCTCATCATAAGGGTAATAATGAGCTACTACATATAGGCCCCAATCCCGACAATACTTATTCACAGGCATCATTTTACTCACATAAGCAGTTCCATGGCTATTCACGTGACTAAATTTGTGAACATACTTTAAGTGTTTGCAGGATTAGAGCCTAACCACTCCTTTTCATTTATTTAAAGCATAGTGACAGAAGGTTCAGTCTCTCTCACACACCTTCCTAAACCCTTTTTCCCAGCTTTCAGGATGCAACATTTGCTGGCTGAGTTCTCTTTGCAGTTTCCTAAAAAACTGGTAGAAGGTGTGAGTGAGACAATCCCTACTTCTGAGAAAAGCTTTGTGGCTAGATGATCTGTTCGGTACCCAAGAGACAAGAAGTCAGGCACTGAAGAGCCATTTCAGGGAGATAAACAGCTGTTTTTACTACAGAAACCAGTTGTGGGGCTGATGTCAAAGGTGAAGAAAAAAACTCCCCATATCTTGCCTGCACCAGCCCAGACATACAAGTAACTGCAAGGGGAAAGACAGCACCCTCCTGCTGCTGATGCGTGAGGTATGTCTTCTTGCTACCAGGAAAATGAAAGGAAGATTAAACTGGGAACTCAAAAGGAGCTAAAATAAAATTTCTCCACCCATGCCAAAGAAAGAGCAATATTGGCAAGTCAGTCAGCAACACGTCAACTTATAAAAGTTGCTTAGTTCTCAATTGTAGTTAATGGACAGTGCACATTACTTCTTTATTAGCAAAGGACTTTTTCTGTCCATTATACCTTAATTGATAACAGTTTACATTATGAATAACTTAGCGGACCTTTTCCTTAGATTATGAACATTTGCTGAAGCAAAATTTAAAGTTAGAAGAACAAGAGATACCAACATACCATCAGCTGACTGGGTGAAGAGTGCATAATCTGGGTTAACTATTTCATTGGATAAGATATCAAACCATTCACGTACCACACCTTGACCCTACATGTCAAAAGGATAAAAAATACAGCACAAAGAAATTTAATTTTACAAATAGTTGAACAAAATGAGTAACCAAATATATTCCTTAAGCAAAAGTATAAGAGTATTGTTAAAACTTCATTTAGATTCAAATTTTAGTTAGAATTGGTATAAATTATATTTATATGCATATCAAAAAATTGTTTATGAAGGTTTTACCTACCATGCCTTCTTCGCCATGGAATCGCACCGCAATCCCCTGCTTCAGCTTTGCACAATTTGCTTTAGACACAACTTCACAGCTACTCCTAAAAATAGACTCTAAATATGAAACACTAGTTAATTTTATATCTTAAAAGAATCACAAAAATATTATGCACTTTATACATGCATTCCTTGTCCTTGTAGTGTAATACCTCTGTGAACCAACAGGATATCATTTTCATTGACTGGTCTGTGCACCATGTCTGAATCCGGTTGTCCAGAGTGCAAATGTTCATAGAACCACTCACAACGATCTTTAAAGGGCTACAAAACAAAACAGGTGAAACATGCCCAATATATTACTCAATCATTCTCAAGGCTAATAATCAAAGCATTCTGTTAAATTCACTTTAAATATTAAGCTCCAGTGAGGGACTTCATTAAAGAGTAATTAGCAGACATTTCAACAAGATTTCACAAAGGAAATGAAAGCAAAATCAAGCACTAATCCTGCTAAAAGAATACACAAACATTTTGTATAGCTCATTTTTGCATCTGGAAAAGACGACACTTAACAATTCAAATGCTTATGTCCAGACGCTTTGAATGTTAGATCTGTAATTGAATACATTTGCAACCAATTAGCTCACTTTTAAATTCAATAATGAATTCTCATGAATAATGTTTTCTTTGAAACTATCCTCCACATTGTCTATTTAACATATTAACACAAACATATGCTTCCATTCTTATTCCTCATTGATCCTCTATGCTAATGAGGCCATAATCAATAGTACCTGACAATAATATGACTTCATTGAATAGGATGATGGAAAAGGTCTTCTGTAAAAGTAAGCAAACTCAGTATGGTTTGGGTTTGTGTGTTTTTTTAAGTCACTTATTTTCTTCAATTCTGAGAGAAATTCAATAGGTCTGGTTTGGTTTTGACCCAAGTTAGGCCATGACCATACTACAAGTACAGCCATGCTTTTGTAACCAGTTCATGACACCTATGCGACCGAGTTATGTATTTGTCTTTCAGTACGTCACTTCTATCTCACAACCATAATTAAAATACAATTGTGCATGTGCACTTACTATGAGATCTGCATCAGTGCATTGTGGGAAACGTGGGCAGCTCTCTCACACATATCTCAGCAGACAGAATGCTTAGAGAAAATGCCAAAAGCAGCATTGCGGATTACGTGTTCAGGGAAGGAGGACTGGCCTCACCAATTACACCATCAAGCTTAAAGGTCCTTTCCACACAGGATAGCGGAAGAAATGCAGAACTGATTACAGGAAGACAATCATATAGCAAACTAGGTTTCTGGCAGAACACCACACTGTTGGTTTTCAGGTTATCAACTGTGGCAGCTGACTGTGAACAGTGAGTTGTGGAGACAAATCATGTTTATGGCCAACCATGCCGTTAAGTGGTTACAAATTTATTTAAATTATGTAGCAGAGACAGGGCCTTAATCTGAAACTGCTCCGGTTTTTAAGAAGCTGTTTGATGAAAGAGGTTTTCCTCATTTAGGGCAATGATTCTCTGTTTCCTCCATTTAATAAAGGAAAAAGTCTCATGGACCCACCTCACAACACTCAAAACCCCCACTGTTGGATTCTCAGAATGTTTTATTGTCGAGTCCCCGATACTCCAGAGACCATGAGAATCACTGACTCAGAAATTGAATATTTTAAATCCTTATTCATCTGGTGTTTTGCCCACCATTGCAGGTTTATCTTAAAACTAAAAGTAGAAGCTGTTCTAAGATACAAACAAAAAACCAAGTATAATTCCCTTGATAGAAAAGTCAATACTGTCATTAAAATAACAGCAATAATGAAAGGTATGATTTACAGTAGTTCAAAGTACTTTTGAGACCTCTAATTCAATAGCAAATAAGACCTATGGAAATGGAAACAGCCAGGATTCCCTAGAAATCCATACAAAATGACATGTTTTTCAGCAGATCTCACCAGAAACATAGTTCCATCTTGTTTGACTCATGACATTCAAACAATTGTGGTGACTGTTATGGGATTTTGCTTAGAACAAGGCCTGACAAAAGGTGTGTTCACTCCCCATTGATTATTACTTGGGGGAAGCAGAACGTGCCTTTACTTGCTTTAGTGGATAGGATACCAGCATACGGGGCTTGGCTGAGTACAATATGGAACAGAACTGAAAATCATCCAGGGGACTGACAGCTAGCACAACCTTCACACCCTACCCTGAAAAGTTAGTCACATGGCAACGGAGATGGGTTCATAAACTCTAAGTTTTTAAAATAAATGGTTTTGCTTTGTGGACTATGGAGGAGAGGGGAATTCTCTCCAGACCTTTACAACTCTCAAAATACAGAATTTCTTTAAAGAGATTTTTGCTATTCAGGCAGCATGGCCCAGAGCTAGCCTACATGTCTTCTTAGGATTTGAGCAAATCCTTAGAGAAACAGGTCTAAAGAACCAACAAAAATGGTTTCTTATCATAGGTCTTTCTAATAAGCAGAACTACAGAGAATATTAGGAAATCACCAGACTATCCGCAGAAGTAAAGGTGCTCTCTTGTGTAATTTGTTGAAGGCTGAATGAAACAAAGTGCTGCCCACAAGCCACCCACTAGCAGTACTAGTGCAGACTTGGATAATGATCACATTGCAGCCAATGCTCACATGTGTGGCCTTGTGTGCAGCAGCAATACACTGATTGTACTGGGTTTTGTTTCCTGCCTTTTTACTTAACTCTCTGGAACACAAAAAAGAAAGCAAGCAATTGCAATAATACCCAAGTGTTTTAACCTCAGATGGCATGTGACAGGTGGTAGGAGGTATTCTACAGAGAGCAAGAGAATGTCCTGGCAACAGGATATCTGACTGAAGTGAGCAGCTATAGCAGAATTATAAATTGAAGACTCAGACTAATTATTGTACAGCTATGGGCCAGAAACAGTTGGCACAACTGTTCTCAAAGTAATTCAGTTATATTTTAAATGGAAAAGATAGCAGATAAAAAGTTCACCCTGGCAAATATCAATCTATTTGTTTAAGCTCAAATACTAGAGGTAGTTAACCTTCAGGCTTTAGAGTTAAATCAGTAATTTATGGATGTGCAAATGAAAAAAAAAAAGTGTTGTATTAAAGATATAAATAAAAAGTGCTTAACATTTACCTGTGCTTTTATGATGTGCATGAATCTCGACATCAGTTCAGGGCACTCAAGAAGAAAATGAAAGTGGTCAAAAATTATTTTGGGGTTTCTGAAAAAAAAAAAAAAAATGTTTTAAGTTGGAAGTTTACTAGTTGCAGGTGCACAGATCTAACCAAAGTCTCATGACAGAACTGAGAATACCTGAAAAGGTATTTTAAAAAGTTTAAACAAAACAAAAATTATAGGATATTTTCAAGAAACACTGACATTGCATAAAGTGTGTTTTCCTGCCTCACTTTGTGGGAGGCTTGCATTACCTCACCTCACCTAAAGAGGCTCTCTAGAGAGAGGACAAGGGGGTATACTGAGCAATCCTCAGAGGAACTTTGGAAGCAGCCAAGCATAAGGAGAAGACGAACTAGGCTGTATGTTTCATTCAGCATTCCTTTGGTGAGTAAACCAAAACCTTGGGAGAGGGAGGGTAATTTGGCCTGTCGTGTGGGCTATGTTTGGAGCAGGGTAGGAGATGGCACCTACTCATAGACCAATAGTTCTAGTTCCTTCTTGACAAGTTTTGGGATATGAAACATACAGAAGAGTTGCTTAGGTACGTACTCATTTAAGCTTCATTCCTGCAATGCTTGTGGACATACATCATTTATGCACAGGAGTACTTCCACGGAGTTAGTTCAATGGGCCTACTAATGTGCATAGTTAGATGTGTATGAATACATGCTGGATCAGGATTGTACCCAGCAAACACACACCTCTGAATCACAATTAAATATGAATTTGTAACTAACATTTTAGTCAAATAAAAATATTAAATTTTTTGAAGGCCTACCGGTTAACAAAGCACTTAAGAACATTGTCATGTTTGCAGACAAATTCTATAAAACGAGGTGACGTCATCCTGTAATACAAATAAAATGTATTTAGTTGTAAATAAATTTGTTCATTGAAAATAAAACGAATGCAGAATTTAAGATTGTACAACAAACCTTGTAATTTTAAGTAAAAAAATCCTATGTAATCCCAGTATCATGTTGCGGTAAAGGATTTTTCAAGTATATAATTAATTAGATATACTAGAAGATTAAAACACTGCTTTACATTGCATCCTCAGTAGTAATCAAGAAGGCAAGAAGTGTCAAGTGTCAAAGCCTGGCCATGCAGCCTGACTGGTAACTGCTCTCCTGAGCGTATGGTTTATGTTACAGCCTAACTGCATCATCACATGCTTTTTCTGCAGGACTTTTGCTTCTTTCACTATGCAGGTGGGAACACATGCATTGGATGATACAATTTAGCATACATCCTTTCTACTATAATGTTAAGAGCACCTCACATCTTGAGTTTATATTTAAATATACAGAGCATGTTAACATTACTATGTTTTTAGTGGAGCTTTTAACTGTTTAACCTAGATCTCAAAAGGTATTAACATCTGAAGGTGAACGAAAACATTTAATACAACACACATACTAAGACCTTATCTACACATAAGCACTGCAGCTGCATCACTATAGCGTTTAGTGGAGACGCTACCTACGCCCCCAGTAGATATTCCACCTCCCAGAGAGGCGGTAGCTATGCTGACAGGAGAAGCCCTCCTGTTGACATAGCACTGTCTACACTGGGAGTTAGGTCAGCATAACTGCGTCGTTCAGGGATGTGGATTTTCCAAACCTGTGAGCAACATAGTTATACCAACATAAGTCTGTAGTATAGACCAAGCCAAAAGATATTAACATGATCATTACCTTTCACCTGCCCACACCTGATCTCAGAAACCTGTATTTCTCCAGCAAGAGGTGATGACATGAAACACCTCAAACATTTTAGGGAACCGCATCTTTTACACTGCTTTAGGCTTCTGATTTATCAGTTCTTGCAGGAGAACGGTTCTGAAACTTCAGGTCTTGGCAGTTAAGAGGAAGTTATTTTTAAATATATCAAATGCTTTTAAAAATTTGTATGTTTTTAAGCCTACCCTGTATCTACATTCAGTATTGTGCTAACCATTGAGTGGTTAAAAGTTGTGTGTAATTATAATCCTCACTTAGAGGGGGAACCCTATTTTTCTAGTTTTCTTTAATCTATTTTCCAAAATATACTCAATATTTAGAAAGAGTTGGAGACTGTAAAAGTTTGACTCCCTTCTCAACTTTAAAAAAAAAAAGGGGGGACATGTTGCCCAACGTGTCAGAAAAACTTTCATCTACAACTGATTAGCCTTCAATTAATTTTGTTCTGTTGGGAATATCCTCTGGATTCAAATCTAATCTTTTAGAGTTAGACAAGAAGTTGTTTTGTTTTGTTTTTTTATTACTCCTACTGCTAAGTATATTTATGAAAGCAGAAGCATTTTCTTTGAGATTTGAGTTTGTGAAAAAAGTGTTGCATGGACAATACTATACAATGAAATACTCTAGCCTTAGAAAAAAACGGAGGGAGCAGCAATACAAGCTCTCTTACACTATCCCACTAACATCAACAATGTTATGCTTATAGGGCAAGTAGCATATTATCAAGACAAGTTCAATCCTTTATGTCAAATAGATTAACAAGAAGGAGTTCAGTTATAATGGAGACTCTTGTCTACTCACTAGGTATTGGACTGAGACCACCAATCTATTTCACCTGGGCCATTAGAACAGATGTCATGTGGTAACAGCTTTTTAGTGTCTGCTAACCTGGGACTGAATTCAGAGTGGGCATGACCTAGAGATGAAAGGTTTTGTATCCCATTACAATTCTCTGCGACATCAAGTCAGATGAGTTCTGCCGCTGGTGCTTATTTTTGCATGAAATGACAGTTCTGATTTTTCTGACATCAAAATTGTAGTAGCAGTTATGAAGACAATTATGTGAAACTAGGGAGGACTTCACATGTGGAATATAAAGTGGAAGTAGTTGAACCCCAGGAGATCATGTTTTCCCATAACTATCACATGTAATAAGACAAAAAAGGCAAAAACTACTCAAGATACTCAATGTGAGCAGAATTGCACCAAGAGTTTTCATGAGACAGCAGCAACACTACGAAAAGGAAGGTCTGCTGCATTGTTTAGAAGCGTTATGAAAAATAATAAAATACTTGAACAAATGAAAGAAGCACAGAGCAATCCCTTGATTGTCATTAGTTTGTCAGCATTCATATTTTCACAAGAAATCAGACTAATTTTAAAAAATAAAATTTTAGATAATGAGCAGAATCCTCCTTACCCTTGAGGCATCTGACAGGAGCAGCACATATAAAACGCTTGAATGACAGCACTCAGCCTGTTTGCTGTCACTGAGATAACATCCTGGCAATCTGCACAAGCTTCCTGCTTCCTGGCAACATCATACGCTTTAGAATCCCCTGTGTCAGTAGACAGCTTTTCTCTGCTCTCAGTTCCTGCAGCGTCAAAGGCAGGCTGATTTGGCCCTTTCTGCTTTAGTAAAATGGATGTAATGTTGGCAGAGTCTCTCTTGTTTTTCATCAATTCTGTAGCTATTAGAACTAGCCATTCATCTAATGAGTGCCAGAGTAATTCCAGCGGCTGCAATGCACAAGGAAATGACAAAAATGTAATTGGACATATTTGTGAATATTAGAAATAAGATCACACCATAAACAAAGACAAGTACAGCATGACTTCCATGCAAATGGTGAAGCTGCTAAATTAAATTCTAATAAAGCTCATCTCATAGATGGAGTCAAGTATTTGTTCACGTAAAATCTTTTCACATATCCATACAGTAATCTAAAAAAACCCACATAAAACCAAGGAGAAAGGAGGGGGAGAAGGGAATCACGTAGTAGATAAAGAAGAGATATATGATCACCTTGTGTTTTATACCAACTTTAATTTATAAAACTCACACATACATGTTGGTCCAGCAGTTGCTATGTACACACTACTGACCAGAGGTAGTGCTATCCTAACTGCTAGGGTCAGGCAGCGAGACAGAGAGATGAAATTCAAGTCCTAACAATTCTGCGTATACTATTTGAAATGTTCGACGTCTGAACAAGTCTGTTCTTTTTTATATCTAGATCAAGCAAGCTGCTCCAATCAGGTGGACCCCTGCAACTATACAGAGCCCCAGTTAAGTCAACAGGCCTCTATGCAAGCACACTGACCATCAACATAAAGTTTGCCAGAGCAGGACCAAAATTAATATTTTTATGAGTAGTTCTGCTAGTATCATGAACGTCTCAGAGTTCATATTGCTAATATGATTAATTTCACTGGCTAGAAACAAGTTTATTGGTAATAATTATGCAAGTTTCCCCACTGCCCTTTAAAAACATCAATCTCATTCACTATTTTGCAAAGATATTCATAGAGCAGTTTAATTTTTTTACAGGACAAGATATTTAGTATCTATTTTGTTTAAGACCACAGTTCACTAGAGGTGTAACTGAAGAGTATGGAATAAGTAAGGCAGCTTTTGTACACACACACGTATTATCATCTCATCCCTTCTCCCTCTTAAAAGCGTTATTGCAGAGGTACAATAGAACCCCGTTTATCTGGTCTAACTGGAACCAAGACCAGATCAGATAATCAAAATTCCGGAAAAACCAGAAAATGGGAAAATGTGATGCTGCAGCACCATCTAGCGGCCACAGGAGAAATCGCCCGCTTCTGGTCCTGGAGTCCTGGTTGTCTGGTAAATGTGGAGAGCCTGTTCAGGGAGAGTCAGATAAACAGGGTTCTGTTGTACTTGAGAAGTGGGATCTGGACCTCTCCCCTTATAACTTCAGTACTCTGTTCCTGCCACTTACTGATATCTGTTTTCTTTGCACCCATGCTGACAAAACAGTATCCGGATGACACTTCTTGGGGGTCACCTCAACTAAGTGCTTCAACATAGGTGTCATTTTTACTGCAATTACTTCTCACAAGAGATCAGAAGGTTAGCTTCCCTCCAAGGATCCATGACTGACTTTACCACAAAACAATGTAAGACTTAAATCTTGTAATTAAAAACAAGATTTACTGAATTACAGAAAAGTCAGATTAAAAAGTAGCTGTATGCTTAACATATATACTCAGAAAGACAAAGCTAGGTAGGCATTTCCTCGATTAGCCTTGCATTTCTAAAGTGTGCTTTCTCCTAAGTATTTCAGATGCTTGTCAGACACCCTTCTTGATTTCTTAGGACTCCTGTTTTTAATTCTCTGTTCCATTATGCCCTGCAGGCACCAAACTGGTATTCCTGGAGGTCTGACCCCAAATTCATTCAGATTGTATTCAGAGCTGTGGTCAAGACAGTTTCAGTTCCTGTTTTCCTATTTCAACATTATGACTTATCAAATGCGAATCCCCACACACACACTTCCAAAGTGGTCTACATTTTATGCCAACATTAATGACCATGCCTAAGCAGGATGACTTAGTTGAAGTTGTCACCAAGAAACCAACTTAGTTTGCTTTTAAAAATGCAGACCTTACACTTCATTCTATAATGACAAGAATGAATTTAGATCTATTCTATATCCAAGATGAATCAGGAAAGAGTAACTGATCTCCATTTTCTCCTTGCGCAACGGGCTGTACTTGACCTCTCAAGGCCCCTTCCAGCCTTACATTTCTATGATTCTAGTACACATATCAAACATCCTTTGAGTCACATCATTTTTATTCTTTGTGTGTCCAGAAAGGCTACTATTCAGTAACACATGGCACTACCCCTTCTCTTAAACCTATTCATGTTGCCTGTGCAGCACTTTCATTCTCTACTAAAATGGTTCTCAACCAGGGGTACGTGTACATTTTTTCAATAATAGTGTGCTGTGACACTTTTGTATTTCTATGTCAGATTTGTAAGCAAGTCGTTTAAGTGAAGTGAAACTTGTGGGTACGAAAGACAAATCAGACTCCTGAAAGGAGTACAGTAATCCGGAAAGGTTGAGAGCCACTGCTCTACTGACCTGGAATGCCAGAAATCAAACCCAGCTCTCATGCTGCAGTATACAGCAATACCTTCTAGCCAACTGACAAATGTTTTAGTTTTAAAAAGATTTAGAGCAGGGAACCTCTAGTCCATAAAAGCAATAGCCGTATGACAACAAAAAATCATAATTTGATTCTAGAAATGAGAGAATCAAATGTTACAGGCTTCTCCGATTAGGACAGGGAGATTATGCAAAGAAGTTCATTAGTACACGCTCATATTTAACAAAACTATCAGAAAAAAATCAAAGACTTAAAAAAAAAATCAGCAGAACAAGATTATTAAAAACTTAATACAGGCACTGAAGCCTAAAGAATACTAAGCCACAATTCAGGCTTAGCATGTCTAACGTTTATTTGTCCCAGTGATCTCTTAAAGGATATTGCTTCGGATGCACAGGGAAATTGGTCAACAGCATCATCAACTTTGGGCTGTTTAATGCTTAATCAATAATAAGACCATCACAATTTATAATTCACCGATGGATGAGGCATCTAACCTTGCATATACTACCACCACTTAACTGGATTGCATTGTGTTAGTACCTAGCTGAAATAAGATGAACTAAGTCCAATGTGAACTGAATTCGGACCAGGAAAGATGTATTTGATCTCAGGTTTAGAAGATGCCCACTCTCAAGGACATGACTCTCAAATCCAAGTATCCTGGAATACAGTTAATTTGTAAATCTGGAAGTGTGCAGCTCACACTAGGATTTATTGGAATTACTAGCCAAGTTTATTGAGCTCTAGAGTCTTAAAATAGTCCCAGTGTTAGACCCAGATAAAAGCAAACTGGCTATGACTTAAGCAATGTAAGACAGAAGCATGCTTGCAGGGAGAAACATTTAGAATAAGCAGAAGTAGTGCCTGCATGATTTTTTCAAAGATAGTTTGCTCTTTTAGGGTCCTATTGGACCAATTGCCTCCAGTTTACAAGGTAGCAAAGGTAATCTACAGTGAGTTTGAACACACAGTGCAGAACAAGAAGTTCTGATCCTTTTCTAATGACTACCTCAAAGCAGCCATCCATGCCTATCACTGACAAATTAGAGCTGCAATGTGATGTGGGACCTTGAATCTGAAATAATTCAAGGTATTCAATGGAATATAATGGAGAGGAGACTAGAACCTGGTCAAACTAAACAGAAAAGGGGCTTCTCACAGGTAGACTTAATTTGAGTTAAAAGGGATTTCCTTCAAACTTGGGTTTCTAAACAAAATATATATTAACCAAAGAATTTCTTTGCACAGCCAAAGTTCAGTATAATCAAGCAGTGAGTTTTAATTAGCTAGTGATTCCTTCACCTACGAAGAGGGGCTGACTCCTAGTGAATTCTATCATCTGCATGACACAGGTAATACATCCACTTTTAATACCTTTGGAATCTCTTAAATGAAGCTTGGCTGGGTCTGTTGTAGTGAGTTAAGGATGGAATCTTAACTATGCCTCCAGTAAGATATCAAAGCTATTCTCTTCCCTCAAAATGTGAGCTTTTTCCATGTCAGCCCATGCTCAGGGTCTATCCAAACTCTCTACATCTCTCCATGCCAGCTTACTGTGGCTATTTTTTTTATTTAAGTGTTTAAAGCAGGGGTTGGCAAACTACGGCCCACGGGCAACGTCTGGCCTGTTGGACCTTTTAATCTGGCGCTCGAGCTCCTGCTGCAGGAATGGCACCTGCAGAAGGGGCAGCACCTGCAGACAGGACAGTGTGGAGAGCTGCCTGGCCGCGTCTCCGTATAGGCCATGGCGCTGCTTCCGGGACCAGCTTGAGGTAAGCGCCGCCCGGAGCCTGCACCCATGACCCTCCCCACGCCCCAACCCCCTGACCCAGCCCTGATCCCCCTTCTCAGCCTCTGAATCCCTCGGTCCGAGCCAGGAACACAGTCCTGCACCCCAAACCACTCATCCCCAGCCCCACCCCAGAGCCCTCACCCCCTCCCGCACTCCAACCTCCTGCCCCAGCCTGGAGCCCCCTCCCACATCCTGAACTCCTCATTTCTGGCCCAGAACCTGCACCCCCTCCTGGAGCCCAAACTCCCTCCTGCAGCCCAAACCCCAATTTTAGGAGCATTCATGGTCCGCGATACAATTTCCATACCCAGATGTGACCCTCAGGCCAAAAAGTTTGCCCACCCCTGGTTTAAAGGAAGAAGAGGTGCCCGAGACTTGAGGCACTTCTGAAAATTATTTTAAAATATAATAAATCATAGAATCATAGAATATCAGGGTTGGAAGGGACCTCAGGAGCTCATCTAGTCCAACCCCCTGCTCAAAGTAGGACCAATCCCCAACTAAATCATCCCAGCCAGGGCTTTGTCAAGCCTGACCTTAAAAACCTCTAAGGAAGGGGATTCCACCATCTCCCTAGGTAACCCATTCCAGTGCTTCACCACCCTCCTAGTGAAACAGTTGTTCCTAATATCCAACCTAAACCTCCCCCACTGCAACTTGAGACCATTACTCCTTGTTCTGTCATCTGGTACCACTGAGAACAGTCTAGATCCATCCTCTGCAAACACTTGGAAGGTGGTAAGGTGATAGGGAATAGCCAGCATGGATTTGTAAAGAACAAATCATGTCAAACCAATCTGATAACTTTCTCTGATAGGATAACGGAGAAGCGGTGCATGTGGTATACCTAGACTTTAGTAAGGCATTTGATACGGTCTCGCATGATCTTCTTATCAATAAACTAGGCAAATACAGCTTAGATGGGGCTACTATAAGGTGGGTGCATAACTGGCTGGATAACCGTACTCAGAGAGTAGTTATTAATGGTTCCCAATCCTGCTGGAAAGGTATAACACAGGGATCGGCAACCTTTCAGAAGTGATGTGCCGAGTCTTCATTTATTCACTCTAATTTAAGGTTTCGCATGCCAGTAATACATTTTAACGTTTTTAGAAGGTCTCTTTCTATATGTCTATAATATGTAACTAAACTATTGTTGTATGTTTAAAGTAAATAAGGTTTTTAAAATGCTTAAGAAGCTTCATTTAAAATTAAATTAAAATGCAGAGTCCCCCCAGAACAGTGGCCAGGACCCGGGCAGTGTGAGTGCCACTGAAAATCAGCTCGCATGCCACCTTCGGCACGCGTGCCATAGGTTGCCTACCCCTGGTATAACAAGTGGGGTTCCGCAGGGATCTGTTTTGGGACCGGCTCTGTTCAATATCTTCATCAACGACTTAGATATTGGCATAGAAAGTACGCTTAGTAAGTTTGTGGATGATACCAAACTGGGAGGGATTGGAACTGCTTTGGAGGATAGGGTCATAATTCAAAATGATCTGAACAAATTGGAGAAATGGTCTGAGGTAAACAGGATGAAGTTTAATAAAGACAAATGCAAAGTGCTCCACTTAGGAAGGAACAATCAGTTTCACACATACAGAATGGGAAGAGACTGTCTAGGAAGGAGTACGGCAGAAAGGGATCTAGGGGTTATAGTGGACCACACGCTAAATATGAGTCAGTGTGATACTGTTGCAAAAAAAGCAAACATGATTCTGGGATGCATTAACAGGTGTGTTGTGAGCAAGACACGAGAAGTCATTCTTCTGCTCTACTCTGCGCTGGTTAGGCCTCAACTGGAATACTGTGTCCAGTTCTGGCCACCGCATTTCAAGAAAGATGTGGAGAAATTGGAGAGGGTCCAGAGAAGAGCAACACAAATGATTAAAGGTCTAGAGAACATGACCTATGAAGGAAGGTTGAAAGAATTGGGTTTGTTTAGTTTGGAAAAGAGAAGACTGAGAGGGGACATGATAGCAGTTTTCAGGTATCTAAAAGGGTGTCACAAGGAGGAGGGAGAAAACTTGTTCATCTTAGCGTCTAAGTATAGAACAAGAAGCAATGGGCTAAAACTGCAGCAAGGGAGGTTTAGGTTGGACATTAAGAAAAAGTTCCTAACAGTCAGGGTGGTTAACCACGGGAATAAACTGCCTAGGGAGGTTGTGGAATCTCCATCTCTGGAGATATTTAAGAGTAGTTTAGATAAATGTGTATCAGGGATGGTCTAGACAGTATTTGGTCCTGCCATGAGGGCAGGGGACTGGACTCGATGACCTCTCGAGGTACCTTCCAGCCCTAGAATCTATGACTCTTTGCAACCCCTAGCAGCTATCAAATCCCCCCTCATTCTTCTCTTCTGCAGACTAAACAATCCCAGTTCCCTCAGCCTCTCCTCCTAAGTCATGTGCTCCAGCCCCCTAATCATTTTTGTTGCCCTCTGCTGGACTTTCCAATTTTTCCACATCCTTCTTGTAGTGTGGGGCCCAAAACTGGACACAGTACTCCAGATGAGGCCTCACCAATGTCGAACAGAAGGGAATGATCACATCCCTCCATCTGCTGGCAATGCCCCTACTTATACAGCCCAAAATGCCGTTGGCCTTCTTGGCAACAAGGCACACTGTTGACTCATATCCAGCTTCTCATCCACTGTAACCCCTAGCTCTTTTTCTGCAGAACTGCTGCCTAGCCATTCAGTCCCGAGTCTGTAGCAGTACATGGGATTCTTCCGTCCTAAGTGCAGGACTCTGCACTTGTCGTTGTTGAACCTCATCAGGTTTCTTTTGGCCCAATCCTCTAATTGTCTAGGTCCCTCTGTATCCTATCCCTACCCTCCAGCGTATCTACCACTCCTCCCAGTTTAGTATCATCTGCAAACTTGCTGAGGGTGCAGTCCATGCCATCCTCCAGATCATTAATGAAGATACTGAACAAAACCGGCCCCAGGACCGACCTCTGGGGCACCCCGCTTGATACCGGCTGCCAACTAGACATGGAGCTATTGATCACTACCCGTTGAGCCCAACGAACTAGCCAGCTTTCTATCCACCTTATAGTCCATTCATCCAGCCCATACTTCTTTAACTTGCTGGCAAGACTACTGTGGGAGACCATATCAAAAGCTTTGCTGAAGTCAAGGAACACCACATCCACTGCTTTCCCCTCATCCACAGAGCCAGTTATCTCGTCATAGAAGGCAATTAGGTTAGTCAGGCATGACTTGCCCTTGGTGAATCCATGCTGACTGTTCTTGATCCCTTTCCTCTCCTCTAAGTGCTTCAGAATTGATTCCTTGAGGACCTGCTCCATGATTTTTCCAGGGACTGAGGTGAGGCTGACTGGCCTGTAGTTCCCCAGATCCTCCTCTTTCCCTTTTTTAAAGATGGGCACTACATTAGCCTTTTTCCAGTCATCCAGGACCTCCCCCGATCGCCATGAGTTTTCAAAGATAACGGCCAATGGCTCTGCAATCACATCCGCCAACTCCTTTAGCACCCTCGGATGCAGCGCATCCGGCCCCATGGACTTGTGCTCGTCCAGCTTTTCTAAATAGTCCTGAACCACTTCTTTCTCCACAGAGGGCTGGTCACCTCCTCCCCATGCTGTGCTGCCCAGTGCAGTAGTCTGGGAGCTGACCTTGTTCGTGAAGACAAGAGGCAAATAAAAGCATTGAGTACATTAGCTTTTTTCACATCCTGTCACTAGGTTGCCTCCCTCATTCAGTAAGGGGCCCTCAATCAGTATATTAAGAGGAGTAACCAGATTGCATATGATCATATTTATTAAGCCACACATTTCCTACACAACAACATGGGTAACATTTGCTCCATTTGCAGCCTTTTTAAACAGTCTTCCAGCATGTCCAAAATGTCAGCAGATTCAGGGTCTTTTGGACCCTGGGGATTACATTCCAAAGGAAAGGGCTCCTTCACAGAGGACACCCTGCTACTCTTTTATACCCAGGGGCAGGAGGGGGAAGAGAGGACCAATTCCCAGGCCTGTTCTGATCTCTACAGCACAAACAGTAACCACTGTTAACTGGCAGACACAGTATGACATTTCTTCCTTCCCAAAAGGATTAAAGTGATCAGGACCACTACATACCTAAGGAAGGATTAAAGAGGAAAACATGTCTTCTGGGAGCCAAATATTGTCTGGCCCCCACCAGCTAAGCTACCTGAATACTGTGAGTCCAAAAGGAGCATACTACTTGCAACATGCCACTGAAGACTTTTAAACTAGCCCTCCCCATTGCTAGTCAAGTAAAATATACAACTGGAGATGAGGGTTAACACCTGAAAGTGAAAATTAATCTGTGCTAAAATACCAAGACAGAAAAGCCATCGGAAGCCAAGGCAGAATCCTTTCTTCAAAATTTTAAGGTTTCTAAACACAAACTTCACTAAAAACAAACAAAACAAACTGAGACCCATCATGCAATTCTCACTTTTGCTAATTAGCAAGTTAAGATTTAAAGCCATGTTAGTACAGTACATAGTTAAATATACTAAACTCATGTATTTGAAAATATAAGTTTGCTTTATAGCGTAAAAAGGCTATTACCAGTGTATTTTGAGAAAGCAATGTGATCTTAGTAATTCAAACCTTCCCCATAGCACTCTGCCATTAAATCTTTGTTGACAATAAAGGAGGGCACTGTTTGAGTAGAGTTTAGTGATGTTCACCTGCGTATCAAGTTATTCAACTGTAATATTTCAGTTTTAGGAAAAAGCTTGAGTTATATTAGCAATATTTCTTCTGCAGTAGATTTCATATTTCCCAGTAGAGTCACTGAGAAAAAGGACAGACTATTTTACCATCAAGCATTAGACAATATCTGAAACAGAGGCTTTTTAATTTATATATTTTCTCCCCTCCTTCCAGTAGGTGACACTATTCAACAAAATGAAGAATTACAGGGTTTGAATTTTGAGTATTCTTTTTTGGGGCTGCTTTGTTTCTACCAATATATTCATCCCTCAATATACATACATACCTCAATGCTAACGTGATTTTCACGTCAAAGAAAATGTAACAACTCTGATGTGTTTTGAAAAGAAGGAATTTAGAGGATAGCAAAAACGGAATGCTTTACAAAATAGCAAGTTACACAATTTCCTACTGAAGTATCATATACATGAAAAATATACATTCAGAGGTGAGACTTTTCATTAACAGAGCTTTGTGCAGATGTTTCAAGATATTATAAAGCCAATAAGTTTTAAAGTATTCAATAATAAAGTTATTGGTTGAAAGTTCTTAAACAAGGTTACTTCAGAAAAGACTTGGTGATGAAAGTAAAAAGAGAAACAGATTAAATTAATTTAATCTATTTTGAGAAATCAGATAAGAGAAGTGATCAAAACCTGATAAATCTCTAATTATTGTATTTTGGATTTACATTAATGCAGTCTAGTATATTTCCTAATGTTATAGCATTGAGATTACAAGCTATACTACTAAACCTAAAACAGAAATAAAAAACTAAGATCTACCATAATAAACACAGATTGATAATTAAAACATTTAAAATGTCTTATAAATGACATAAGATTATTAGTAGGAGAAATTAAGAAGAGAAAAAGAATAGGTAAGATATAGGTCAGTAAAAAAATGTAATGTAAAAAAATTGATTACACAAAAAGTAAAGAGGTGGGCCTAGTTTAAAAACAGATATGGGTATCAACCAAACTTACTTCCTGTTCATGAGATGTCTGATTAATGAATGCATGCTTTGTGAAATTCATCTCTTTAACGTCTATCTTCCTAACAACGTCATATACTTTTCTGACCTTGAACACCTGACTTCTTGGAGTTTTATTTCCATTGTAGCCCATGTCATTTCCATTATTGGGAGAGGATGGGCCAATGCGAAAGACATGACAAAATATCCTCACGATCCTTAAGAGACTCTTCATTTGAGCTTCATAGTTACTTGACAAGCTGGGGGGAAAAAAAAATTGATTTAAGTATTTTTTCCCTAAATTAAATGATTCAGTATATAAAGGTGTAAACACAGCCCAATGTTTGGGGATTTAATGCTTCTCCAACACACATGGCTAACAAATGATGGACTTTTTCCCTAGCCCAAAAGGTCAAGGAACACATGCTGTAATTTTTACTGATTTCTAACCATATTTAAATTCCAGATATTTTGCAATAATAGCTAAATAAAAATAGCAAATACAAACTTTTAGGGTACATTTTGTTAGTGTTTGTATATACCTACACCACTTCTGAAGCATGGGTAAGAGATGCTATCTACAACAGTAAGGTCTTAGCACACCACTAATCATAAACCAAGCTGACTCAAAAGAAAAATGTTTTCTCCAAGTGAAATTATCTTTCAGCCTACTGCTAGAACTGTGCCAGCCAAAGAGACTGTGCTAAAGTCCAGTATTAGCAAAATACTGCGCTGAATATATTAAATTAGACCAATCTGCCTCGATCAGCTATTGGACCAGGATGATAGAAATCACACTGCTTCCACTAAAAAAAAGTTAAGTGATGAACAGCATGCTAGCTAGTATTTTGCCCCAAGTAATATTGTAATAATGTAATATATGTAATAATATTCAAAAAAGTCACACTTACTAAATAAATAAAAAAGTTTAATACCTGTGTGACTAGATTGGACAGAACTTCAACTGTAGACCAGTATCCTTGCACCATCAGTGTAATTATTAATATATAATCTAGATATCAGTGTATTCAATAAACACCACAGACTCAACCATGTTCACATTGCTTTCTGTTAACAAGCTTTACAACCAAGCTTCAAGAATTTTTCAAGCCTGGTAAAAAGGATGCTTGTCCTCTATGAAAAATCTGAAGACACCATAACACAGTTTTAAACAATTTCAAGGAGTTAAATTTAGTATCTAGCATATTCAAATACAATTGTTGAGTGTCAACTCTGACTTTAAATACATAAATCAGTGGTTCTCAACCAAGGGTCTGGGGCCCCCTGGGGGTCCACAAGCAGGTTTCAGGGAGTCCGACAAGCAGGGCCGACATTACATTTGCTAGGGCCCAGGGCAGAAAGCCGAAGCCCCACCACATGGGGCTGAAGCCCAGGGGCCCCAAGCCCTGCCAACCAGGCCTGAGCAATGGGACCCCCTGTGGCGTGGTGGCCCAAGCAATAGCCCTGCTTGCTACCCAACACTGGCCCTGGCTTTTATATGCAGTGAAACAGTTGTGGCACAAGTGGGCCATGGAATTTATTTGGCATGTTGGGGGGGGCTCAGAAAGGAAAGGTTGAAAACCCCTGCAATAAATTATACCCTCTGGTTTTTGAGATGTGTGTGGTGACATGGTTATAAGAATCCATATACCTGCTCGCCTACTATCTTGAAGGGTGTTGTTACAGTGCCCTGATTAGGTTACTGAACTAGCGAATGTTAATGTTATAGCATAAGTTGTTCCAATCTATGCAGCATACCAAATAACACCATACCACAATAATGCCTCAACAGTATTATAATATTCCTTAAAGAAGATTTGTCAGTGAGGAAGCAGCCTAGATTTGCTGCAATAGCCTATACATAGTATATAAGCACTGGGTATTACAATGTCATATGAGCCAGTTTTCAATATTTCTTAAAACATGGTTTGCCTGTCCGTCACAGAAGGTAGCATAACCATTTTTAAACAAAGATAACCTAAACCAGACCAAACCACATGTAAAACTGGTTCAAGCAACATTAGAGTGCCAACAGCATATGAAGAAGCACTGTACTAGACAAAGAAAGACAGCACCTGTTCTGATTTTGATGGGGTCAAAGAGTTCATCCTCCAAAAAAGGAAACAAAGAAGGGGGAAAACTGCATTTTTAAAGACTGCCTTTTTTAAATAAAAGTTACTACTAAAATATTTGAGGATTTAAAATAACACCTTTTTGGAAAAGTGATATGTAGAGTTCACATCTTTCCTGCTGTTATTTGATCTTTGACCAGGGAGCTTTTTGTAAACCAGGATTAACAAAAAATAGTATTACAACATGATAGAAAAGGCTGCATTTTCCCCAGTTAAATTTAAAAAAAGGAAAAAAGAAAAAGAAAATTGCCTTGGTCATAGCCATACATTTATCATTTGGGAGATTCTTATCTAGCCACCACCAAAGTTTCTGAATACAGACATTTTAATTTAAATATCTGAGAAAAACTTAATCCATCCACGTGTATCAGCCCAATGGCCTAGTGGCAATTCTTTCCACATTAGAATTTGGTTCCAATATTTTGCTTCCCAGGCTTAGAATGCTTCATAAGTATATGACCAGCACAAAAGAAGAAATAAGCTAACATTTTCCCTAAACTAGTATTAATGAATCCTGGATTGCATTCCATCCAGTCCTCCTCTGCCAAAAGTATCCCACCACATCTGCTATATATGTTGCAGAAAAGCTATACTAGACATGCTGAGTATTAAAAAGAGATACTACTTGCATTGCTTCACCTGCAAAACTAGCCTCCCTTAGTTACAAAGAAGGTTAACTATACAAGCATCAGCACACACGGTCTAGGTACTCATGACCCCCAACACTAATACCTGACTACCTCAATTTATTTGCAACATTTCTGTGAGGTGGAGAAGTATTATCCCCATTTTACATATGGGGAACTGAGGCACAGAGATTCAAGTGTGACCTTGGGCAAATCACTTGAAGCTTGTGGCAGAGAACTAAACACAGGATCTCTCAAGTACTATTTCTTCACCTGCACAATGCTGGTAATAAAATAACCACTAAAAAACCTTGCTGAAGCATAGAGATGACCTGAAATGTAGGAAGGGGGAATAATCAACAAAGAGTTTTTTTTGAAAATCTGACAGTATTTTGCCAAGTTTTTTTAATTATACCCTTTGAGGTATAAAATATTAAGAATATTTTTGAAACTACTCCACATTGCATATCCAAAAATGCTACTCCATTTCTATTAGCTGACTCCTATAGGTTGCTTTCATGTTTCAGCAGGATTCTGTGCTGTTTGTGATACCACCATCTTACACGGTGGTACATTTGTTGGGACTCCATGAATTTAGAAACCTAAAAAAATGCATTGCAACAATGTATGCTATTAATCTGGTGTTCAACTCAAATGTCTACAGGTCTTTTAAAACAAGAACAAAAAAAAGTGAGTTCATCTTTGTATGCAATACATAAAATTAAAATGGCATTAAACCAATGCACTTTAATGTTGTTTAAGTAGAGATGAACAAATATATTTTTTAAATATACCTTTAATGTTTATCTAGTGAAGTAGATCCATGTCAAAAGGAGAAGGCAACAAATGAGTCTGTGGAAGAATCTGAAGTTCTAGACATAGTAGGAAGCTCTGACCTACAATTTGGATCCATACTCAACAACGCTGGTAAAACAAATTTTGTTGGGAGTGAAAGGGGACCTATTTGATCCCCTGTTGATTGAAAGGGCAAGCTGCCAACTTCCCTCAAACAGTTCATGAGCATTGCCCGAACAAGTCCTTTCCTTTCCTTGATGCAGAGAATCTATCCAATTAACACCCTCTCTCTAAATCACTCCTTTTCCAGAAAGCTTTCAAGAAGGTTTTAATGAGGCAATTCCACTCTGGAGTTATCTTATTTAAGTTAGCCCTTTTAGAGAAAGTTTCATTCACTTCTCTAGCAAGGGACAAGAGAGTCTGTGCCAATCCATTACTACTGAAAGCAATTAAATCTGGTAAACTTTCCTGTAGAAAGTAAGAGGTATTTTATGCTGACAACGAGATTGTGTGAAATAACAAAGAAGGTCAGTGCAAGACAGACAAAGAGTCCTGTGGCACCTTATAGACTAACAGACGTTTTGGAGCATAAGCTTTCATGGGTGAATACTCACTTCGTCAGATGCATGTAGTGGCATGCACTTCATGCATCTGACGAAGTGAGTATTCACCCATGAAAGCTTATGCTCCAAAACGTCTGTTAGTCTATAAGGTGCCACAGGACTCTGTCGCTTTTTACAAATCCAGACTAACACGGCTACCCCTCTGATACTTGAGTACAAGACAGAGTTAGCAAGTAGAATACAAGGTCTGAGGTAAAACCTATATCCCACGACACACTATATATTGCGTACAGCAATGAAAGATGTAGAACAACAGAGGAAGAATGGACTGAGGTGGAGAAAGGTGCAGAAAAGATATTGTCAATGGCAGGAGCTGCTTCTCAGAAGTGCTCCTTAGAGCAAATTCAAAGAAAGAACCAGCTTCTTCTGGGTGTCAGCAGACATATCCAGGGGCAAGATCCTACCAGGACATTTTAGTAGGCTTACAAAGACAAAAAATCTTCTTTGAATGGACTTCTCTAACATACAGAGAGCCAGCGTAATAATTTGACACTAGAGAAGTGAGTACACTTGTATGCAAAAATGCTGACATCCACTTTCTGCACATTAGTCTGAAGAATGGGGACATAAGATACTTATACAGGTGTTATTAAAGTGAGAGGAAGTGAGGGAATGGATGAGGATGGCAACAGACATGAAGTTGAGGCAGTGGCATACATAGCCATACAGGATCAGACGTGATGCCCATGTAGACCAGGATCCAGCCTGCAACAACAACATGGTTCAGATGCTTCAGAGTAATGCTTAAGACAATGCTGTCAAACAGCAGAAGCCGGATTTGCAGGGAGGCTAGATGTGAGAAGAGAATTCAACATGAAGCATGGGAGACAGGAGTACCTTGTATGTGAGGATAGAATCATAGAATATTAGGGTTGGAAGAGACCTCAGGAGGTCATCTAGTCCAATCCCCAGCTCAAAGCAGGACCAACACCAACTAAATCATCCCAGCCAAGGCTTTGTCAAGCCGGGCCTTAAAAACCTCTAAGGATGGAGATTCCACCACCTCCCTAGGTAACTCATTCCAGTGCTTCACCACCCTCCTAGAGAAATAGTGTTTCTGAATATCGAACTTAGACGTCCCCCACTGCAACTTGAGACCATTGCTTCTTGTTCTGTCATCTGCCACCACTGAGAACAGCCTAGCTCCATCCTCTTTGGAACCCCCCTTCAGGTAATTGAAGGGTGCTATCAAATCCCCCCTCACTCTTCTCTTCTGCAGAATAAATAACCTCAGTTTCCTCAGCCTCTCCTTGTAAGTCATGTGCCCCAGCCCCCTAATCATTTTCGTTGCCCTCCTCTGGACTCTCTCCAATTTGTCCACATCCGTTCTGTAGTGGGGGGACCAAAACTGGATGCACTCCAGGTGTGGCCTCACCAGTGCCGAATACAGGGTAATAATCACTTCCCTCAATCTGCTGGCAATGCTCCTACTAATATAGCCCAATATGCCATTGGCCTTCTTGGCAACAAGGGCACACTGCTGACTCATATCCAGCTTCTAGTCCACTGTAATCCCCAGGTCCTTTTCTGCAGAACTGCTGCTTAGCCAGTCAGTCCCCAGCCTGTAGCCGTGCATGGGATTCTTCCTTCCTAAGTGCAGAACTTTGCACTTGTCCTTGTTGAACCTCATCAGATTTCTTTTGGCCCAATCCTCCAATTTGCCTAGGTCCCTCTGGACCCTATCCCTACTCACCATCGTATCTACCTCTCCTGCCATCTTAGTGTCATCTGCAAACTTGCAGAAGGTGCAATTAATCCCATCATCCAGATCATTAATGAAGCTGCTGAACAAAACTGGCCCCAGGACCAACCCCTGGGGCACTCCACTTGATACCGGCTGCCAACTAGACATCAAGCCATTGATCACTACCCGTTGAGCCCGACAATCTAGCCAGCTTTCTATCCACCTTATAGTCCATTCATCCAATCCATACTTACTTAACTTGCTGGCAAGAATATTCTGGGAGACCGTATCAAAAATTTGCTAAAGTCAAGATATATCACATCCACTGCTTTCCCCATATCCACAGAGCCAGTTATCTCATCATAGAAGACAATCAGGTTGGCCAGGCATGACTTGCCCTTGGTGAATCCATGCTGACTGTTCCTGATCACCTTCCTCTCTTCCAAGTGCTTCAAAATGGATTCCCTGAGGACCTGCTCCATGATTTTGCCAGGGACTGAAGTGAGGCTGACTGGTCTGTAGTTCCCCGGGTTCTCTTTTTTAAATATGGGCACTATAGTTCCTTTTTCCAATCCTGTGTGTGCGCGCGCTGCAAGAGGCCGGAGAGCCTAATTCAGCAAAACAGGGAGTGGAGCAGGAGGAGGGTCTTCATGAAACCTTAATACATCAGATGGCATCCCAAAGGGGGTCTAACCCATCACACAGTCATTAAGGATTCTTAAGACACATGATTGAGTATTATCAACACAGGTATACAAGCTAAGATTAAAAAGGTACAAAGAGATGACTAGGAAATAGGCAGCAGGAAAGAGCCAGGAGGTGGTATATGGATTTCACAGCTTGGCAGACAGCTTACAGAATCTGTTCAACAGTTGAATTTGGATGATCTTGACAACCAAACAAAATGCATTAGCCCATAATAAACCCATCCTTAAGATGTACTTACCTAAAATCTCAAAAAAGGACTATGGGCCCCATGCTTTGCAGCTTACTACCTGACCCTAATCTGCCCTTTCAAGTGAAAAGAGGTGGCAGAAAACTCCACTAGAGCCTAGATCTGGCACTACAGAGCCCCAAAAATCATACCACCTACCTGATCGCCACTAAAAAAAACTGGACTGTTTCTTTTAAAGAGATTCTTTTAAAATGCAATATGAAAGCCCCACTAGCTTGGCCTTTCTTCAAATATTTCTACCAAATATGACTGATATTTGTCTTCATGCCAGTCGGGCGAGAAATCAAGTGAAAATAAATATTCTGTTCTTAATATAACAAGTGTCTTTAAACATATTTTTCATTACTGACCTACTTACATATTTTGACACTTACCTCAGTAGTTTGTGACCATTTGTTGTAGCAACTTCAGCAAGGCTTGTTAGGATCTTAAGGTACTGGCTTTCACTCTGCTGGGACAAGTGTTCTAGAACTTGCCGCAACTGGATATAAAATAAAGTAGATAACATGTGATATTACTAAGTGTTCTATTACAGATTAATCCAAAACATAACATAGCTAGGTGAGGCAGGAACCCATAGAAACAGTAATATGTATGTGCCCAACCATTTCATAATTAGCAACTAATACTCAATAAGATCTTTTAAACTGAAAATCTATTCAAAAATGTATATTTTAGAAGTTAGTTTTTGTATTATAGGACTTAAGAATATAGCATGAATAAATGCTCTGAAAGTACTAATAAAATTCATCATTAAGCAAAGTGCCATTTTTTTTTGTAAGAATGCAAATTCAAGTCCAGCACAAGCTTCATCACTCTGCCAATATGACTAAGTTTCTTGATTTGTTCCTTTGCTGCCCTATAATATTATACCGATAGCCTGGCTGATCCCAAATTTTGAATCTCAACCTTTCACTAACTCCATTCTTATTCAAATAGTGATGAGCTCCAAAGTCCAAATTGTGCTAACCACCAGCTCTTTAAATTCATTCTCTCCTCTTCCTTGCTAAACAACTTTACTTCTCCCAAGCAGACTTATCTTGCCAACATCCAAAGTCTCTTCTCTACCTTCAGTTCCTCCTTTCACCCCTCATCTGCACCCTTCACTGTCCAGGACCTTGAAAGTTTTCCCAGTCACAAAAATCTTCTCTCTGTGCTCTTCACTATATCCTTTTATGCCTGCTGTCATCCCTTGTTACTTTTCCTATTCCTTTCTCTTCATGCATATTCTTGCATCCATTCCCCTGCCCCCCCCCGCCCCCCAAAAAAACACCTTTTCCTCAAACATAACCCAAAAGAATCTTCAGCCCTGCTGAGCTCAGCTTTCAGCCCTCTTCTTTTCATACAGACCCCAGCTGCAGCTTCTTGCCTTCATGCACACCAGGGGATTTCTGGTAACCATTCAAATGAACAGTCTGTGTCAGACCTACCCTCCCGCAGGGAGTCTCTGGCACATTACAGTCTCTAGTCAGTTTCCAGCTCTACCCAGGTTTCTTGCATGATGTGGTAGCTGCCAGTCTACTCTCATTCCAGGTCAGCATCCAGCTGAGCAGTGCTTCTTCCTTCCAACTCCTCCTTCCGGCCTGACACCCAGGCTGACTGGGGTCACTGCAGCTTATTAACCCCTTCCTGGCCAATATGGGGTTTGTATACTCCATCACAACTACTTTATTCTCAGGACCCGACTTTGGGAGGAGGTGCGGGGGGGCTGGGTGACTGACCCTGGCGCCTTGCTGAGGGGGGCACTTTCAGAGCAGGGTATCCTCCCCCTGCTGCTCCGTGGCCATCTGCAGCCGCCCGCTTTTCCTGTCTCCACCTCAGCTTGGAGCTGCCCCGGCCAAGCTGCTCCTGAGACCATCCTGTCTGCTGTGCAGAGCACAGCTGGGGGGCTGATTTTGGGGCATCCCCATCTCCCCACCCGTGTATGCAGTTTCCATTGAGCTGGAGTGGGGGGCAGGAGTCTGTGCTGCTGCCTCTGGGTCATAAGTAGGGCCCTACCAATTTCACAACCTGAAAAACTTGTCAGGGACTGTGAAATAAGCCCTTCCCAGTGAAATCTGATCTCCCTGAAATCAGCTGGGCTGGGGAGGGACAGGACTTGTCCTTCCCCTTCACAGCTGTTATCAGAGGGAGATCAGATGCACCTCCACAGCACCCTCACTTCTGCACTGAAGCAGCCCCAGAGCTGGGCTGGGAGCTGCCTCCCACTGCAGCTCTTGCCCAAGCTCAGGGCACCCGGGCTGGTCTTCCCAGACTCAGGGCTGCCACCCCTGCCCCCCACAGCGGCTCCTGCTGGGGCTGGAGGCAGACAGGCTCCAGCCGGGACTCGGGGCTTTCACCCCCCGCAGCTCTTGCCCAGGCTCAGGGACCTGGGTTGGGGGCTGCCACCCCCACAGCTCCAGCCCCCGCAACTCCTGCCAGGCTCAGGGCTGCCGACCCCCCCACCTCCTTGGCTCCCACCTGGGTTCGGAGCCCTTGGCTGGGGGCTGCCACTCCTCACTGCTCCAGCCAGGACTCGGGGCTTTCACCTCCGACAGCTCCTGCCTAAGCTCCAGGCTTCCGCCCCCTGTGGCCGTGAAATTGACCAAAGTGAACTGTGAATTTGGTAGGGCCCTAGTCATGAGTGGGAGCTGCTGGACTTCAGACTAGTGAGTGCTGTGCTTAAAGAGATAGCGCACTGTCTCAGTCTCTCTCTCCCTCTCTCTCATACACACACACTCTCCCCCCAACACATACTGGTATTATTGTTGTTACTTCTTGGTACTTCCCTGTTGAAATGCGCAATGCACATATATTCTCTGTAATTTTATTCTTTCAAAACTCATTAAGGATTACAGTACTGTTATTTTAGTTTTTTTACTGGTCTGCGCATTTCATAATTTTATTTCTCTCTTATGCTTAAAAGTAGTGAGTTCTAAAACGCCTGGCTGGAGTAATTTATCATTACTACTTTTGTTACAATATTGTGCTTTGTAATTCATTATTTAAAGTGGTACGACCAAATAACGGTATCCTTCTAGAATGTAAATTTAGTTTGTATTCACTTTAGCAGAGCCAGTTTAAAAAAAGTTAGCTAAACACAACTTTAGACACTGTGCAAAGGAAGGTCACTTATTTTTCGTTATATCGGTAAAATAACTTAAAATTTGTATGAAAATAAATGCAGTTCAAAGTATGATACTCATAGCAATGATGGAGTCAAAGGTTAGTGAGTCACGTACATGATTGTCATCGGTGAACAAATTCCAAAATAAATTAGGAGAATTCCCATTCTTACTAAAAGAGAAGAATCCTTAATCACATATGTTAAAATTAAATAAATACATTTTTAATGGAGTGAAAAACAATTGACTAAAATACAGTAGATAATGGCAGTAACACAGAGTGTGTTAGAGAAAGTAAGCAGATTTTATTTCTCTCTACTAAAGATAACGTCCAAAATATCAAACTTGTGTTTCTGATATCTGTATTAAAGCTCCAGAATGGATTCCTCAAGGCTTGGGATTGGGAATATCTTGTTGCATTATCCCCTCATTGTTCTAAATTTACATATAAACTTAAAATGTGGCTTTAGTTTGAGTCTGTATATATTTTTCTCTCTTTATATAGCAATTAGATACCGTGCTCCTGTCAGCTAATTCCTAAGTTATTAACTGCAAAAAAACCTAGAGTTTTCAGATGTCTAAGTAGCCCCTGGAATCACGTTTGAAGTTGCCCTCCATCCCACAAAATCTGAAATGGTGCCCCTGGTGAGCCAGGAGTGGCCAGAGGGTTGCAGAAGGGCTGTGGGCTTTGGTAAGATACAGCCCCCATGTGACAGCACAAAGCTCACTTTGAGCTGCAGGCTGAGCACCAGGCACTAGAGCCACAGCAACAGCGCAGAAGTAAGGGTGGCAATACACCATATACCATGCCACCCTTACTTCTGCACTGCTGCTGGCAGTGGCTTTGCCTTCAGAGCTGGGCACCTGACCAGCAGCCACCATCAGGTTGTCCAGTCAGTGCTTAATTGGTGCTGGGGCTGACCTCTGGCACCTCTTTCAATACAAATTAAGCACTGCGGGGAAGCAGCGGGGCACGGAGATGAGGGGGGTGGGGAGCCCAGGGAGCCTGTGGGGGCCAGAGCTGATGGGAGAGTGGGGAGCCCGCAGGGCACCAAAATACGAGTTTGCCCATGATGCCATTGTCCCTAAGGCTGACCCTGTTTATACTAGTAAAGGGAATAAGGTAGAGAACTATTGAGAAGGAAATGGGCTGGAAATTATTTCAAGACCCATCAACTGTGGGTACAGATTAGAGAAGAATCTGGCAGGGAGGGACGTGAATAATCGTTATCTTCCAAATGATTCAGGGCATATGTCACATACTCATTTTAGAGTGTATCTGCAGAAGCTATTATTTAAGGAGAATATGCCTCATTCTGAAGTACTATGTGCATTTATAGTGCTGTACCATAAGACCCTACAAAAGGCTACTCTTCCAGTTCTTATTCTGTCCAGACCAGACAGCACATTAACAGGGCTCTAGATAGAATCCAAACTCATTTACCTGTAACCTAAACTGAATTTCAGGCCAGCACTCCATGGTAGAAATTAGTACATATTAACAATCACTGGACTACCTCATTGTACATTTTCATGTTAAATCAGTACATCTTTATCAGAACATGAAGTTCTGTACAATATATACATACATACGCCCCCCTCCCCAGTTCTCCATGTTTAATGGGTTCTGCCCCAGAACTGCTGGAAGTCTCCAGTTGTCATTGAGGTGCTGCATGTAAAACAAACAAACAAAAATTTCAGGTTTAAGGACACATTGTAATGTGACAATGTGGGATTCAACTTCACTGAATTTGGGTTTAAACATCAAGTTTGAGATGTTTAAATTGTAGGGAAAGATACAGAAGTAGACAGAGGGAGCAAGGCCTTAGGGGACTTGGAGAGAGAGAGACACAAACAGACACAGACACACGCGTAGACACAGCATAGAAAATATGTATTACCATGTTTTCCCGTAGCTCTTCATTCTGTGTCATTTGAATAATTGCCTGGAAGAGTCTAGGATGATGTTGTATTAAAATTTCACAAGTTTCTCCATACCCACCCTGTAAGACAGCATTTTTAAAGCAACTATTATAAAACAATTTTAAAAACAAGTGCTATATTTACACTTACAGCCAGGCAATCCATCCTCAGGGACCGATACTAAAGATCAAATGCAAAAGACTCTTAAAGTCCTAATCTCAAAGTAAAGATCTGAAAGTTAAATAAAAAGTGGACTTGAGGTATTGAGTGGATTCTTTGTTAATACAGATAAATGAACATTCATGTGTCAATCATTAGTAATCTCAGTTTCTCTTCTCAAAGTAATCAATTTAATCCTTGAGAAACTACAATAACTTTACATTCCAGCAGCCATTTTAACTGATAATTAAGAAGAATGCTGAAAACAATAGATTTATACAAAAATCATAATGGAATTAGCTCCTGCTTTCACATTTGGTGAGTATCTAGCTTGTTGCACCCAGAAAACTAATTCCCCAAAACCAGGTTAAGATGCCTTAGCTAAAGGCTCCCAATCCACAAGCTCTTTGGACACTATTTTTTTTATCTTCTAGATCCTGGCAATAGGATAATCCCATAAACAATGTATAACTTTTTAAATGAAAATGAACAAGACAAAAAAATCAAAGTATTATGACTAGATATGTGCCCAAGACACCAGGTTTAGAAATGAACTTCCCAAAATCTGGAGTTCTGAATTGTATCACATCTCTAATTTTGTTTCAGGAAATCTACCCTAGATGACTTTTTGGATTTCCCTACCAGTCAACAGCACTTATGCTTCGATTATATTTAAAAGTATTATAATATTAATATAGGTCTCCATAACCCTCAGTTTCCTCAACAGTTTCACACCAGCACCGTCTTCAAGGTCCTGTGTCACAAACATCTTTACAGACAAAGCTCACTAGACAGGACTCCTTTAAGCACCAGTAAATGACACTTTAGAAGTCAGCCAAGTGTAATCCCCCCAGAACTGAGCACTTGCACAAACACACCCCAAGTTCCTGTCAGTCCACGGAGGACAGTACTTCAGGTATCAAACTAGAGTCATGCCAGAATATGCTGGCTGATGAAGAAAATATGCAAAATAAGAAGCTATACATATTAGAGGAATCCCCAGTTTGCATTCCTTTCACTGCTCACTCAGCACAGAACACAATCCCAGCAGAGATTAGCTGGCTGACTATTATAAGAGTCTAAAACAAGTCTTAGTTCTGCAATCTGGTTTCTCAGACTGGGGGCGGGGGCAAGGGGAAGAGAGCAAGAAGAATGATATATTCAAAATTAAATGCACCAAAAAGAGCAGTAAGCACTCCCTTCTCATCACAAATGAGTTGAGCTACCAATGCAGAACTATTAGGAGTGAGCAATATAAATCAGTAGTGGTTAGGAAATACAGTTTTGATAACTATATAGGAAAGGCACATGCTAAGGATGGCCTAGTGTGGTATTTAAAAGGATATAAAGTATAAGCGAGTTAAAAAAAGAATTGGATAAGTTCATGGAGGATAGGTGGCTATTAGCCAAAATGGTCAGGGATGCAACCCAGACTCTGGGTGTCCTGAAGCCTCTGACGGCCAGATGCTGGGACTGGATGACAGGGGACGGATCATTCAATAATTGCTCTGTTCATTTCCCTCTGAAGTGTCTGGCCTTTGCCACTGTCATAAGACAGGATACCAGACTAGATGGGCCATGGCCGTTCTTATAAAGCATCTTAAAGCCTCTAGATGTTCTATTTAGTACTGTCCTAGAGGCAGCAACATCCTTAATACTCTTTCCTATCTCTAGGATATCAATGTATCATTTACCCATTTCCTAACTTACACTGTGTAGATTCCACCTACTGTGCTGCAAACAAACCAGCTATTTGTTTAATTTTTCTAATTAATGTCAACATTTTCCACTTACAGAGAATCTTGCATATGCTAAATGGTGTTACATGAGTTCTTCCAGTTTGATCTCATGATTGATAAACTAAAAGACACTTTACAGGTTAAACCTGATTTGGAATTATATTAAAGGTATGTTACTCCCTAAGATTTTTGTAGGACCAAAAGAAATGCTAGCAAAGATGTAGACTGAGGGAAAGCAGTGTACTGGAGCTGAGGGAACTGTGCCCAAAGTGATAGTAATTAAAACCCTTAAACTTATTAGATACAAAGGTGATGCTAAAAGTGTTGTGAATTGAGCAAGACATTTTACAGATTAATCTATTAAATAAATCTTTCAGAATCATCCTTTTTTAAAAGATTCCAGAAGCATGAATAGCAGAATTGCTGCCTAAGAGACCTTTCCTAACTTTTAAAGATGACTTGGAAATAGTGTATTTAATATCCTGAATCTTGACCCTTTGTCTTGCCAAACAAAAAGAAACAGGTCACTGGAGTTACAAGATACTCACTAATCTACTTACATTCTATAAAACCTCGTAGACTTCTGACAAAACTAGATTTTGTTTTGCATGGCAGCTGAAAATGTATAGGAACAGGAAGTCATAACATCCTCATCCTTTTTAAAATAGAGGCCTGGATGTAGAGATCGCAATACCTTTGAAAAACTGAAGGCTCAGCAGCAAGATCTTCTTGAGCTCCTTGAAAAGTTAACATCTGAAGTAATAAGTTACTCTTACATACAGGCCTTCGGCTCTTAGCTGTTTTAGCAGTTTGCACATGAACACCTAAAAAAGAATTTGTTACCCCAAGATGATGTAATTATGGTCTGAATAAATGTGGCCTTTAAGAAGAGACTAAGTGAATGGCTGTCTGTTTACTTCTTTTAAGACCCTAATCTTGTGAGCAGCTATTTTGTGACAGAAACATCAATCTTCTATATGCCTACCCTAATAAGAAGGTAATCTTGGTTGATCTGGAGAGTAGCAAGAATATACATTCTTCCTAATTACTCAGGAGAAGAAGAATAAAACATTTTCTAATGGAATTAATAGACAAAAAACTGCATATGTTTTGCTATTCTGAACTAATCCAAGAAGTCAAACCAAAAGAGTCAGGTGAAGCTGCTTCCCTGAAACTCCTCAAAAGAGGTCTCTGACCTCTAGGGATGAAGTCATTGTTTTCAGATAGCAGAAACAAAGGAGGGAAAAAAAAGTCATTTCATATCAATTTTACACAAAACACTGGTTAATGTAAAGCAAATTTATACCTGCACACAGAGATCCAGTGGTGTAACTCCATTTTTGTCTGGTAAGTATTTGGCTCCTCTCATCAAAAGGATTTGTGCGGTGTCTCTTTGACCATGGCTACATGAAACACAGGAGAAGGTTTACCAAAAAGTACTTAGCCCATGAGTAGTACTTATGTCTACATTAAATAGCTAACAGTGCAATAGGTGTTCCTCACAAACTTTGATTCCCAAATCAATACAAACTAGGGACCAAATGCATAAAGTTACATTACAGAAATCCATAAGTAGAAGCACAGCATGGAAGATGACCCCTCTTCTGGTCCCTCTGACACACTGTTAAGTGGCTGTTCTCCAGCCTACTGCAAAGGTATATTACAAGCACTGGCCTGAGTTGGAATTTTTTGCATATTCATGCAGGAACACTCTGACCAGAAATAGACTCTATGCCCATTTGATGGTTCCTGAGTTTAATACAGAGCACAAGGGAAAATATAAGCATTTTTAATGCTACTTTTACATTGGAAAAGTGTACTTAGAGAAGATGAGATATGATTGTTTCCAGATGCCTAGTAAGCTTTCATCCAATACATTTTAAATAAAAGAATCACTTATATAAATTTGTCTCTAACTAACCATGTTCTTACAATAGACTGTAAGGGTAAGAAAACAGAAGTTATCTGTTATTAAAAAAAACTCTTGTCAAATACAGCAATGTTAAATACTGTATTTGCATAAGTGGAGTTTGAAATACAAAACAGACCTATTCTGTCACCTAGTACATCATCCTGACAGTGCAATAATGTGGTGCATGTGTGGTTTTTTTACAATAAGTTTTTAGTGCTTTGACTAATCTAGATAAAAGTATTCAGAGTGATGGGCTTTACTACTTCCCTTGGGAGACTATTTCAAAGTCTAATACATCTCATTGTCAAAGCTCTGGGTCAAGGAAACAGTATAACTACTTTATGTAACATATAATCAGCTACTTTATTGTTGCAGCCGGTGGTGACCCATTAAAGACCAAAAAGCGGTAATTATGCCACACATTCCATATGGCTGCACTTAAGAAAATTAATTTTCCAATTAAATTTTAAAGGAGAAAGGAAAGATTAGATATGAGTGCTTCTATAGTCACCAGAATACTATAATAGCCTGTTATAAACTGGTGTTAGCCTTTACAAATGCTCGATTTTTAGGCATATACCATCAATTACAGTAGTTTTTAATTCAGAATGGGTGAAATTCAGCCCTCCAGGAAGACCTGGCACAAAGGCTTCTACAGCAATCAAGGACAATCTTTACCCTCTGCAAATGAAGCAGTTGCACACGAGAGGATTACTAGGTTGACTACTACTCAAAACCAATTGGCCTAAAACCCTGCATGAGAGCTTCCATTACTATTCCAGACAGAGGCTCTATGCTGCATTCCAATGCCCTAATCCTAGATCTGTTCAGCCCTTAAACATCTCCTACAAAGCCCAAGTAATGTGGCTTTAAGTGTATAATTATTTTCAGAATGAAATTCATGTAAGTCTTAACCCCTGTATGCCCTTAAAAATAGAAAATATTTAGCAGTCTTATTGGGGATATACACAATATTAGAATCAGGGTGGACAAAAATCAATGATTTTTTTTTTAAAGCTGATTTTTTTTTATTGATTAGGGATTCCACAGGCGTCTGTATAGATTATTTAGGTTAATCTTTCTATCTACCCAATGGGAGTCGGTATCTTCTAGACTGAGCACTATCAGAGATGCTTAGTTTTGCTGTTCTCAAACTGTGGATTTGGGTCTCCAGAGGTAACATGCTTGTTAACAGGAAAAATGTTTGCTTATTAACAAACAAAACAAACAACAGACCTCAACTCTATTGTCCCTCTGCAAATGTGTGTGCACAGAGTCAATCCCTTACCTCTCTCTAAAAGTGCAAAGTTTCAAAAAGTTCAATGAATAGAAGACTTTTGGGGGTGGAATAGATCTGGACAAGAAGAAGAAGTCTGGAGATAAATGTGAGAAGTGAGGGACATGTGCTTCTTTTGTTAAAATATTATATGTTTGCTGTTGAAGAAAAAAAACCGAGAATACTTTATGTTATTGTTTTAGTTAAATAAAACAATTTAAATGTCTGTCTGGTGATGTTCTCCTCCTAATACAGCATGACAAGAAAATCCTCCAAATATTAATGATTAACCTGTTGAATTGGAGATATTTATGAAGTCATTGGGAGGTGAACTATCTGCTTCAGTTACCTTTGGTAAATGAAATAACCACAGTCATTCATTTTCTGATATAGCTGTAAAACTAATCTGAAAAGTTTTCAAAATAAATCACTATTTAAAAATGTATAGTATGTACCTTCTAAAAATGAAACCTACATCTATCTCTGAGTTGTGAAGAATATGTATTAAGGTTATAACAACCAACAAGAATGCACTTTTAAGTAGAAAACCATGATTACATCGAGTCTTCCTGACCAGTGATTTAAACCAATTTGATTTAAATCAAATCCACCCTGATTAGAATGCAACTGGAATATAAAATTAGCATTTTGGGGTTCTCCCCTTGACTTAATCTGAACCAGGCAGTTTCTCAACCAAGGATTTTTTATTTCTAGAAGTCACCATTGCACCCACCACATGATCCTTTCTTTTCTGAAAGGTTTAAATGCCTCTAATCTGGAGCAACTCAGCTGCTTCTTCCAATATCAATACCAATCCCTAAATTGAGTGCCAGGAGACCTTCAATTAGCTAGCCGCTATTTATTCTCTCCTTCCCTTCTCCCCAACTGCCAAGAGCCAGCATACGTCTGACCTCCAGCAGACCAGTCTCCCACAATTTAGCTCTTAGCAGGTCACCAGGTCAGCCCATTTCTCACTTTGTTTACATTTATAATTTCACCACAGGTTTAACCTGTAATCAAAGCACCAGGATTATAGCATTGTAGATGTCCCAACAAATAGCTGAAAGGATCCAATTAAAATAAGAAGCTATTGGAAATTGAATTAAACAATGTAGAAAACAAAATTTCACTCCAATACTAAGTCTTTAGGACAGGGCTGGGCAAACTATGGCCCGCGGGCCGGATCCGGCCCGCAGGATTGCCCCCCATGGTGCCGTGGGCCCCGCGCTGCTCTCAGCGGTCCCTGCGGTCCCTGGGCCCTTGCCTCCAGGCACCGCCCCCGCAGCTCCCACTGGCCGGGAACAGGGAACCGCGGCCAATGGGAGCTTCAGGGGAGGTACCTGGAGGCACGGCAAGGGCAGCACATGCGGAGCCCTTCGCCCCCCCATCCCCAGGGAGCCTGCCCTGGCCCCGGTGCGCACCGCTGCCACCTCGGAGCCCGAACCCCTCCTGCACCCCGCCCCCCAACTCCTTCCCTAAGCCCCCTGCCTGCACCATGCACCCCTCCTGCATCCCAACTCCCTGCCCTGAGCCCCTGCTACACCCTGCACCCCTGTGCACCCCAATCCCCTGCCCTGAGTCCCCTGCCACACCCCACAATCCTCCTGCACTCCAACCCCCTTCCCTGAGCCCCCTCGTTCACGCCGCACCCCTCCTGCACCCCAACTCCCTGCCCTGAGCTCCCTGCTGCACCCCACACACCAACCCTCTTCCCTGAGCCCCCTCCTGCACTCCACACCCCTCCTGCACCCCTGCCCTGAGCCCCCTCCTGCACTCCAACCCCCTTCCCTGAGTCCCCTCATACACCTCGCACCCCTCCTCTGTCCCAATCCCTTGCCCTGAGCCCCTTCCTGCACACCACACCCCCTCCCACACTCCAACCCCCTGCCCCGGCCCAGCATACAATTTCCCCACCCAGATGTGGCCCTGGGCCCAAAAAGTTTGCCCACCCCTGCTTTAGGACATGGGTGTGTATTTTATGACAAAGTTAGTTTATAACAGGGCATGATTTATAAAGGCGCGTTTGACCATAATATAGGTTAGCATCCATTACACCAATGGTTCCAAACCATTTCCATTATAATCTGCCTTTTTCACATGCTCAATTTGCAATCCCCTCAAATATTTTTTTTAACAAACAACTGTTTTAAAAACAGAATTGGAACAAAATTAGCCTTACAATGAAGTCTTAAACTTGCCATGGATATAACCTTCCTGGAAGACTAGTACCTTTGACTGTCTGATTTTTTTATCCACAGTGTTGTTTGAGAATTGTATACCAAGAATATATTGTATACCTAGAATATTGACCCAGCATGTAAAGCTGGTTAAATATTGGTTATTTTAACAGCTTCCTTATTTTAAATCTAAAATCATGACTCACTAGTTTATTAGGGTATACCCTGGTAGAAAGGTGCTTAGCCTGCAATATTAACAGACATGTAATCTTATATACATGTGCAGGTCTAAAACTGTTGACAAAATATTCAAATACTATACCATACAGCATTCCAGCAAGAGGCAGAGTTTAGACTAAATACATTCTTAGTTTTCATATTTCCTGATTTGGGTTCTTTACTATGCATTGAATTAGTGTAGTTTTGTGTATTTAAAAATTAAAATTTTACATTTTGTACAGTATTTGGAAGTCAAACATAGCATACCTGCAAGCAAAATAGAGTGGAGTTGCTCCTGACACGTTTGGCCTGTTAATATCTGCACCACTGTCTAATAAACACTGCACTGTCTTTTGGGAAAAGGAAAAAAAGTGGTGTCAAAACTAGAAAGAAATTAACAAAAATATCACTTGGCTTGAAACTGTTTAGTTTTATGCATCTCTCTTCAGTTATACGAATAGATTTAATTTCCAGTAATACATCTCAAAAACAAGATACCTAAACATTAGGAAAAGGATTATGACAGTTACACCCTGAAAAGCTTTCACAATAGTCTATTTCTAGGACTTGGCTTTTTAATAAAAATGCCTTTTATAGGACTTTGGCCATTCTGTAAGACCAGTGAAATCAGATCCTCCCAAAAAGCTTATATTGAAGTTAAATATTTATCAGTAAATTGAGGTAAAAAAATATTGTAGTTTTGAAAAATATATTAAGAGGAAATTCTAAATAAAAACAACAGAAGTACTTGTGACACCTTAGAGACTAACAAATTTATTCGAGCATAAGCTTTCGTGGGCTACAGCCCACTTCTTCGGATGCATAGAATGGAACATATATTGAGGAGATATATATATACACACACACACACATACAGAGAGCATGAACAGGTAACACAAAACAAACACTGTAAAGTATGAAAATGCTGAGCTAAGGTACTTAAACAACCTCAACTCTAGCCCATCCACATGAGGTAAATGTGTCTATAATTATCAGTCTGATTGCTAGCTGATGTCTTGAAACTTGTAACCCTTGACAGCTTGCCATCAGGAGCCCTTTCTGGTGGTTCACAGAGTAACTTTTTGACTGTGGTAGAATGGAGAATTGGGCTGGGAACTATTTCCCCATGCTTATTTTTCCCCCCCTACAGTTCCTCACTTCTCCTTGTCAATTGCTGGAAATGGGCCATTTTCATTACCACTACAGACCATTCTTTTTCTCTCCTGCTGATAACAGCTCACCTTAACTGATCACTCTCCTTATAGTGTGTATGGTAACACCCATTGTTTCATGGGGGGGGGGGGTCTATATATCTATCTTCCTACTGCATTTTCCACTACATGCATCCGATGAAGTGGGCTGTAGCCCACGAAAGCTTATGCTCAAATAAATTTGTTAGTCTCTAAGGTGCCACAAGTACTCCTGTTCTTTGAGGATACAGACTAACTTTTTTTTTTTAAAAAAGGTTCACATCTGCACACAACTATTCTACATGTATATACTTAATCCTAATGCAAAATCAATCCCCAAGATAGAGTACAAACACTTAACTGTATCGGATTAAAAGTAACCAAGCTGCCATATACGCTTTTCTGTATGTAGTCATTCTGACAAACGTGGCTCAAAATACTACACATTATAGTGAGTAATGCATGAAAAAATATTCAAGAAAATGAAACACTACACCAATATCTACAATCAACTATGCAATAATAGATTAATCAACTGTATGAACAGCTGTGGGATGCGCATTAAATTATTTAAACTCTCAAAGGAGACTGCAGGATCACCCACACAAGAATAAACCACTTATTCCTATACGAGTACATGTAGTTAAGAATTACACCTCTACCCCGATATAACGCGACCCGATATAAACACAAATTCTGATATAACACAGTAAAGCAGTGCTCCGAGGGGGGGGGGGGGGGGGAAAAGAGAAGAGGAGGACTGCGCACTCCAGCGGATGAAAGCAAGTTCGATGTAACACGGTTTCACCTATAACGCAGTAAGATTTCTTGGCTCCCGAGGACAGCATTATATCAGGGTAGAGGTGTATTAAGATAAATGATAGTCATGTGAATAATTCTAACCTTTATAAAGGTGTATGACTAGCCATAGTTTTAATTAAAAAAAAAAAATTGAGACAAGTATTACCAAGGTTTTAACAATTACAGTCCGTTCAAATGAGTTTTATGAACTTACTGTCTTGTGACCATTTTGGCAAGCCACGTGTAGTGCTGTCTGTCCCATTGCATCTTCAACATCTACGTTATTGACATGCTGTACAAGATCGTGAAGTAGTTCTGTTCGCCCATTGACAGCAAGCCAGTGAATCTAAGTAAAAAAATCAAATTACTAATATTCTTATTAGTCAATACGTACATATATTTCATAAACACAAGTGTACAAAACCTAAGGCTCTGTGGCCAAGATTTTCATAAAATAGGATCCTAGAATTAGCTGCCTAAATATGCATCTAGAAGTCTAAATCTGTGCCTGAAATTACAGCAGCTCCCTTTGATCACGAGTATATTACAAGAATGCGTTTAAGAAAGGATCCTCAAACACTGTACTTGCTGAGGAACGTAACCAGTAGACTGCCTGAATATCCTACTGATAGGAGCTACAACCAGAGGACAGAGTTAAATTTAGATTCTTGACACTCATGAGGTGCACAAGAAGAGCGGGATTGGTGCCAGCTAAGACAATCAAGAATGTTTGAGGGAGGAGCCCTCTGCCTTGATATCAGAAGTCCGCATTCATTGTTCAGGCCAGCAAAACTAGCAGTTGCAAATATAATATCATGTGGTTCCACAACTTCACCCGCCTTAATTTCAAGTCAAAGTAGTTTGTTACAATACCAGCACAGAGGAATGGAAAAAAGTTAAAAACCTGTATAAAAATGAAAATTTGTTATGTTGCCTGGTCACTGAGGAAGGAGGTGGAAAAAAACAAAAAATTAACCCTGAGCATATAAAGTTGCATTTCTGAAAGTGTTTTATTTGAACCAAAGATTTTACTGTTTTAGAAATATTTTGATCAATTTTGTCACTAAATTAACAGTTCCACAATACTTTACAATTATATATTAACAGGGACCCTTCCAGTTTTAATGATTGCAGAGCTAGTCAAACAGTTAGCAGGCACAAGCTATAAGCATTTTCAGTAAAGTTAGCATATCACTGGTTTATTAATTTCAAGAGAAGCACTCCAGTAACTAAAATGGATAGCACTTACTGCAGTCAGGCCTTCATTATTACAAATGTTGACATCTGCACTATATTCTAAGAGCTTGCTCATACATTTCTTCTGTCTGTAAAGGAAAGAACATATGCAATTCCAGTCATAAAAAAAGAAAAAGGGTCTGCAGAAAACAAAGAGCTTCCCCATGCCCCTTTCAGACTAATTCATCACATGCATCAACTGCAGTATGTAAGTTTTCTTCATAACAGTACACCATTAACTGATATTTAAAGAAAAGCAAATGCTCACCAATGCCATAGAAGACACACACAGCCAAGAGTTTTAGCTTATAGAAGGGAGAGGGAGAATGGTGGGTTGATTAGACAGGTTTCTATGTTACAAATATCAGAATACTTAAGTGTCCTGTTCTAACACATTATTTCAAAATACAGTAAAAGCTGTTTTATACGGCATGTTGGTAGAATGGGGGGTGCCAATAAGCAAAAAAATGCTGGTTAACTAAGAAGGAGGGAGTTTGGGTGCATGAGGTGGTGCGGGGCACAGGCTTTGAGAAGGAGTTCGGGTGCAGGAGGGGGCTTGGGGCATGGGAAGAGGTGCGGGGTGACGGATCCAGGGGGTGCTCACCTCGGGTGGCTCCCTGCAAGCGGCGACCTGTCCTGGCTGCTCCTAGGCGGAGGCACAGCAGGTGGCTCTGCGCGCTGCCCCTGCACACTGCCGCTGCTCTGTGCTGAGCGCTGCCTTCGCAGCTCCCATAACCCAGGAACAGCGGCCCATGGGAGCTGTGAGGGTAGTGCCTGTGGCCAGATGCAGCGCACAGAGCTGCCTGCCGCGCCTCCGCCTAGGATCTGACCGAGGTGAGCAGCCCCCAATCCAGCACTCCACACCCTGTCCCGTGCCCCACACTGCCTCCCACGCCCCAACCCCTGCCATCCCCGTGCCAACTGGACTATAAACCAGACTTTCAGTGAAGATCAGAAATGCCGGTTTATAGAGCTTTCCGGTTGGTGAAGTGCCGGATAAAACAGCTTTTACTCTATATGGAAGGAAGGATGATCCACTGGCACATCATGCTCAGAATACCTGGGCTAAGTTCCCTGCTCCACCACAGTTTACCTGTGTTACCTTAGGCAAGCCACTTAGTCCCTTTGGGTATGTCAACACAGCAGGCAGCAGCCTGCGTCCAAGCTCAGGTCAACAGATTCGGGCTCGTACTACAAATAGCTGCAGGGACAGTGCTTTCAAGTTCCAGCTGAGGCTGGAGCTTGGGCTATGAAGCCCATCCCCGTTCCCAGGCTTCAAAGAGCAAAGTGGTCAGGGTGATAGGCATGTCTTGTTAATTTCATGTCAATTTTTGCTTTAGTGCAAGCAAGTGTGATTGCTGACAGCAATAATCTGTTCTTTTAACAAAATAATCCAGTCCTAGAATCACTGCTAATATTGCACCTACCTTTAAAGGGACAACTTGAAGAGTCAGATTTCCTTCTGAAAATTCTGTAACTATTACCATTACAACCATCACTTAAGATGAATGAAGAAAATACTTTTCAGTTTTTTTCATTTCATTTTGTTTACTTGACACAGCTGATGGTTAATTGCATTTCCCATCATCTGCACTAGCATAACATCACTCACATATGCTGCCCTAGAGAATTTATAAGTATATTCTTTCCCAGGTCCTTGAAGAGGGTTTCTGCCAGTCACACGACAAGAAAAGTGGAGAGTGAAGAAGCAACAGACATGCATGTACACAGAGAAAAGGGTCGGATGGGAGGCAGCGAGTCAGAGCTCTTAAGTGGTGTTATTCTCAAGATGCCCAAAAAACCCCACACTTAACCAGCCATCAGCAGGATGGCTAGAGAAATCCACTACCAGATAAGAGGGAGCACAGCTAGGCCAAGCCCTCTTAGCCTAATATTACATGTATGGCATTAGTAGGACATGTCTACACTATAAGATAAGTCGATCTATGTTAGGTCGACTTATAGCCACTGCATTAGTTACTGTGGTGGCTAATGTCCACACTATCCTACTTCTGTCAGTGGTGCACTTCCTCACCAGGAGCACTTCCACCGACTGAAGAGGGGCAGTGTGGGAGACAGAGCCAGGCCAAACATGTCAGGAGCGGGGGACGGGGGGTTTGGGGGGTGGGCGGGGAGAGATATGATCCACACTCAGAGTCCAGTCAGCTACTGTGCTCCAGGGTTCCCAGTGTGGAGCCCAGGTGGCAGCCCGGCTTGGAGCGGAGACCAGGAAGCAGCAGGGCTCAGGAGCCAGAAACCTGCTTCTTATCAATGTCATGCCTCCAGCAGCCAAGAGTGACAGCCAACAGCCAACATAAGGACTGCAGTGTCAGCACAGACATGCATCGCCCTAACTATGTCAGCATAAGCCCTAAGCCTCTTGTTGAGGTGGTTGTCTTATGTCGGCATAGCAGGGGAGTTACATCGGCGGGAGGAGCATTTCAGTGTTTACACCTACACCGTTTACTCAACAAAAGCTCACTTTTGTCAACAAAACTGTGTAGTGTAGACAAGGCCTGAGTCTTCTTTGTCTTGCAGAAGATGTTCCTTCAGGGAACACAGTTAATTGCTTGATATCTAAATATCAATCCAAACAGTGAAACCCCTTCAACTTCGTCTTCCAGATCCATGCTTTACTCCTTTAATGTATTTACCTTGTTCGTTATGTGTTGTATTACATACAATTACAATATTGCAATAAGAGTTTTATTATTATTAGCCGCTAAATAAAATATCTCCAACTATGAAACTGATAATTAGCAAAAATGCTTAGTCATAGAAATTTATGTTTATTGCTTCGTTGTATTTAGATAGATCAATATTCTAAAATTAAAAAAATATATCCTACAAGTTCATGGTACACATTCTGTGGTTTTACTTGTACTTTCAAAAGTGCAAAATATATAATTTAACCAGTATGCAAACCAAAATTATAAAACATTCTTAAAACAGTATATCTATAATCTGTGCTAAGCAAAATCAGCATGCTTTGAGAAGGTAAAAGTTTTCTTACCCATTTCTAGCTGCCAAATGAAGGGGTGTACATCCCGAAATATCTTGGTAGTTAGGATTTGCTCCCTTTTTTAACAGCAGAACTAGACATTCAACTGATCCACAGCTTGGATGGAGGTATGGAAAGAAAGAAAGGAAATGGCAAAATCAGTAAAGTGAAACTTTAATGATAAGTATCAGAGGGGTAGCCGTGTTAGTCTGGATCTGTAAAAAGCAACAGAGAGTCCTGTGGCACCTTTAAGACTAACAGATGTATTGGAGCATAAGCTTTCGTGGGTGAATGCCCACTTCGTCGGATGCATGT